CCCTTAATAGATCAAATAACCTTTTAAAAAATATTAAATGGGTTTAAAATCATAGACTGATTTTCACCTATTCTACGTCTGACTCTAAATTGCAGTTACTGATCGGCTACTTATTTAATCTTTCAACTTCTTTGGGCCTTTGAAGTCGTGTCAGCGTTTGAGGTAATAAGAAGCAATAATCTGACACCAATTGCCATGATTACATCCCCTCCTTGGTGTCAGAATACTGGCTGCACAAGGGTGGAAGGAGAAAATAAAGTGTTGATAAATGGAGGGAGAGGTGGAGGAACAGAGGGGTGACAAATGAAAACAGAATGCATGAACATGGATGGAGGAGAGAGGCAGCCCCTCAGGGACATCACAGGGAAATATGACTGTTTTATACAGCGCTGTCAGGAGCGGATAGATTGGCAGTAACACACAGTCGGGCAGGCGAGGTGCGCTGAGTGATGGCCGCAAACAAAACCACGACTTTTCTTCATAAATTCACCAAAATTCTTTGCAAAAGTCAGCTGAAAAAGTTTGACTGGACTTTGGCAAAAAAAATTGCCTCATATGTCTTCCAAATAGATATGTGTGGCATCAGAAGACACAGTTGTGTGGAAAAGTGTTTTCCCCCTTTCTACTTCCCTATATACTTTGCATTTTTGTCACACTTGAGAGTTTCATCAACCCACATAGATATATTAGTCGAAGACAAATACACAAAATAAAACTGTTTATGATTAAGGGAGACAATAAAAAGGAAAACAGGAATTATTTAGCTGCTTCGAATTTGATGCACGTGATTTGAGTGACTGGAGCCCCGGGAGTCACTGCAGAATTACACAAAATCAGCAGATAAAGATTCTTCTGAACTCAGGGTAAAGTATTATTGTGCTGACAGTTTTCTGGAGAAAATGTAGATAAAACCTTTAATATCATGTAATATTCAGTAAACCAAAGTTTCAACGTATTATTAAGGATCCTTGTTTTGCTTAGTGAATTGTGCATTGCCAAATACTGGAAAATTATGGCATTTAGGATTTTCTTGTTAGCTAAAGAAAGCTTAGAGCAGCTGAGAGAGTTTGATCAGATCCTCCAGGAATCACAGCCGAGACTTCGAAGCTGCAAAATGTGAAATGTCCTCATTATTTCTGTATGAATTTTTTCAGTTTGGTCAAACTCGAACGGTCTTCATTAATAGTTTTCTTAAAGTAGAATGAAGTGATTCAGTCCTGAACATCTATTAAGTTTGACCAACAAAAGCAAAAATGTATTACAGTATTATGTCAAATGTACTTTTTTGAGCTTTACATCATGTTTTGATGTCATTCCCTCATCAAAAACATACCTAGAGTGTTGCTTTGATTCTTTCTTGCATGGTTAAGAAATCCTTAAATGTTATATGGCAACCATTCGGTTTGTAAGACGCTTGGGGGAACATAGCGCCACCTGCAGTTTCCCAAGCCGAGTTTCCGTGTCACAGAGTACAACAAGATAAGTGGTCTCTCCTTTAGACTGCACTGCTGAACTTTTGTTGTGATTCGTTCTTAAAAATTTAAACTGATAAATATACTTTGGAAGAAAAAAAAAACAATAACAGATTCAGACTCTGTCAACGTGAATTTATCAAGTGCAACATTTCAAAATTCTTTTAAAACGTCATAGGGGAACAAATAATGTATTAATTTTCTCTTACAGTTTATAATTTACTGCCACATAAAAAGTACACTGTATTGTGGCTTTAATGAATCATCACCATTTTGCAGGCACTGTCAAGAGTGTGTTTGACTGAAGCAAGTATAGGAAGTCAAGCTCTCTCTGTGTGCCTCCCAGATTTACTCCGGTTTTCTGCCAAGGTCCTCACATGACTCGGAGACTTGAAAATGTGGCTACTTTCTGCAGGAGAAACCTGCTCATGATGGCTTAACTATAGGAAGAATAGTGTTGCATTGAGAGTCTGAGCTGTGCACTGGAGAAACTTTATAAAGAAAACTATTGACAGAACAACCCACACAGGCTTAAAGTGAGGAGGAGAGAGAAAGTTTGAAGCCAAAAGGATAACTAAGATCATCCAAATCTGAGTTGGCTGCTTTGAATCTGATAGTTTTATTTCAGGAGTTGTTCTTTAAGGATGGATGAGTCCTTCATCATAAGAAATTGAACCGTTTCACAGATCATCTGAACTTCAAAAACACTAAACAATAAAACAAGATATTTTTTTAAATTAATATTTCATAGGTTTTGTTATGTTTGTCTTGGTTTTCTTCTGTTCTTTGCCTCAATCAATGCTTCAGTATGCACTGAGTTACAACTTCAGTACATACTGAAGCATTTATTTGGCATTTGTCTGTTGTTATTTCCGTCACTTCTATGTTATTTCACTTTTGCGTTCTCACATTCTTTCTTTGACACACTCACATTCGATTCATTGTACTTCTCAAAGGATGTAGACTCTGAAAAGTTGACCAGGATGTCAGCACTAGCTAAACAGCCTCTTCTCTCCTTCTATCAGTCTCTGTCTGTCCACCATCCCTCCTTCACTTCTTCATGGACAAAAAAAGAGGCAGCAAAAACAAGAAGCTCAGCAATCTGTAACAAGGGGCTCTGAAAAAGATGATGAGCTGGATTCGACACAGCCTTGACTGAGACAAAACAGGAGAAGCTCTGCAAGAGTTATTAAAGCGCTAGTTATTAAAGCACACCCCACAAAGTGTGTGAGGGCCTATTTCCTCTGAGCTGCGTAAGCCATGAAATCACATTGTGATCCCCAGCCGAGTATCATGCTCTTTTAATTCCTATTTGTTTGACTTCGAGAGATTAGGCGTTAATTACAGGCTAGAGGAATCAACCACACATATAAAGCACACAGTGTGAAGTAAGGCTTTTAAAATTGGAGTCTTCACAGCAGCAAGGCCGAAGGTGTACAGAGAGCTGAGACAGCATTGACTAACAGGGCTCTCTTGCACACACTCACACACACGCACACGTACGCACACCTACGCCTACACACTGGGCTTAACTGCTGGCTAAAAGCTGCTGTTCTGGGCGAAATCTGTCAGGTTTTAGCTGATTTTATTTTAACATCAACTTCCCTCATGAGAACAGAGAGGATTAGTACGAGGAAGACAAGCTGACCAAAGTGAAGACAAGATGAATTTCACAAACACAAAGCACCTGAGCAAGCACTGCAGGCTTCGCATTTACCCAGAGTCTGCTAAAGCCTCCAGCAGGGCTTTCTGATGCCTTGGACTTAAAGTTAGACCATATCCACCACATTTATCTGAAGACAACACAGTACCATACAAGTGCATCACAATGAATTGGACTATAAAAAGGAATTATCTGAGTAATTATCTTAAAGTTGTACTTGCTATAGTGAATCCCAAAGTGTTCTAAAAAATACAATGGACAAAAAGTGGACCAATCACAGTACATGATGATATTTGCTGAATCATAGAGAGACAGATAATGAAACTTTAAGTATTAAAACTTTTTGTTACTGCAAGGCAGCACAAAGCAAGAAGAAGAGTTATGATTGATAGTGTTGATGTTCTACCCGTGTTTTAATGTTGAAGAGCACTGTTGTTTTACAAATATTTCAAAGTTTAAACTTGTATTATACATCTTTCATCCGGTCACTTTGTTCAAGATTTAGCAACTAACATCAGAAAATGGCACAGAACAAGAATATACCTTTCCACTTTGATTGGCTATTATTTGGCCGACCGATTTTAAGTTGAATGTTCATTGCATTTTTCGTAAATGCCTGTAAAAATAATTGCTATTCCCATGGCTTTTTTGTTCTCTGGGAAATAATTGTTGATGATAAATACAGAAACAACCATAAAAATCAAAACATCAACAATAAAGATTGATATATTATAATACAATAATATTCAGTGCAAAGTATTTTACAAATTCTATGATGGGGTGTGTGAGGGACCTGGATTATGGACAGGGGGGCGCTGGCCCAAAAAGAGGTTAAGAGACACTGGCCTATATAAATATAGTAGCTAGTGTTTGGGAAAATGTGTTCTAATTTCATCTGACCAACAGGAAAAGGAAAAACACAATCCAACGATTTCAATTCCAAATCATGGAGACTTCATTTTCCCCAACTTAATAAAAGAGAGAATAAATGTGTCTCAATCCAAATAATTTTAAAATAATTTCAGAGCATTGTTCTGATTTTCAGTGGCAGTGATCCTCAAAGGCATTCTTCGGGTTGTGACAATTTGTTGTGTCAAAACATGAATTTTATCTCACAAATTATTCAAAGGACTAAGAATTTTCTTTCCTCAATGTCAAACTAAAGAAATGTGGCTTTAGTTTGAGTGAGCGTCTGCCTCCCTCTGGTGGCCATACTGAACCATTCACTACTAATAAGATCTCATTTCAGCTATTACTATGTACATGTACAACTCCATAAATTGTCATTGAAAAGTTAAGAAATTTAGTTTAAAAAGTAAAGCGCCTTTTTATACATATAAACAGATCACTTTCCACGGAGTTCACAGCAAGTGCAAATGATCTAATTGGCAGTTCAGCTCTGCAGATTCACATTATGCTGTATAATGATATAAACTTACTGTATTGATGTAATGCAGCTTTCTACTTTAACATAATGCTCAAAGAACCGCCCAAAAAAAAAAAAAGAAAAAAAAAATCTGTTTTCCGGAAATTTAAATTCACCTTGTGTTTCGACTTTGAGCAACTTGCTAAAATTATATTGTGTAACATTAAAACATGCATGGCTGCAACTGTATCGATGGCAGCTCTTCTTCTTCTCTTCAGTGTTTCTGTCAGCTACTTGGCGCAGCTCCGCGGTCCTGCCAATGGTAGCTCCACAGCTACATCAGTTCAGCGTTACACCAGCTAACGCAAAATAGTAAAATTTCTTCTGATTTTCATTTCATGTCAAAATCAGCTAAACTGACGACGAACTAAAGATTTTAAACTTATCACTCTGTGTGTGACAGAAATGACTGAAAAAAAAACCAACCAACACATCCCAGTTTAATTATCATTTGTATTTATTGTTTAAATTCACCAAAGTTTTCAGCTTAACTACATCCAAGAGCATTCATATCGCCACTGTGAGCTCAACACCAAAGTGACGACAGTGTGACATCATCGGCGCCATCATGACATTACAGCATCATGAAGGGGTTCAAATTAATACCAGTGCCATCCTGAAGCCCGTCGGCAATGAAAATATCTAACAGTCGCTCGTGTCGAGCGAAACATTGCACATAAACTTCCAGACGAGCTTCAAATCTCTTTCAAACTGCTGCTTTAAAAACGAAACCAAGTAAAAAGAAACACTATCCATCCATCGCTTTAACACAAGTTCGTTAAATAAAAAACATAAAAGGAAGTTTTTCTTCTCTCTCTCGCTCTTGTCTTTAACTACATGAGTCTGTACAGTGGGTATGGTTTTAAAAATACAATGGCAGTTCTAAATGTCCTGGGATGAAATGGTAACAGTACTGTCCGTGCTTAAAGTTCGACCATCTCAATCAGTTTGCTTTCTCTTACTATTTTTCACACCTGTAGGGGGAGAGTGGGGAACAAAAGCAGTTTCCTTCACATAAAATCCTTCACACAACATCTTTATAAATAATGTGAAACTATTTTTTAAATTTTAAAATAGAATTGTTTTTTTTTTAAAGAGGCAATTTCCACAACCAGAATCAAGAAAAAACAAAAGCAATTTCAAAATGAATATATATATATATATATTCCTTTTCATCTATTTCAGTGGTTTCAGTGCAGATTGAGAAGCTTGCAAAATTTTTAATTTGACATTCAATACAAGTTATTGTTGAGCTGATCCTAAGATTAAGCTGTCATTAAGAAGAAAAGGAAGACTCCCTCTATTCAGTTTTGACTTCAGGTGTGTAAATTTACAAAGACAAAGTGCTTTCTCTAGCCACTTCATAGGACCATCAAAATGAAAATGACACCTTCGGATCACGTTTTGTTTCTTTCTGAACAGCTAGACACTGTTGCAGGTCAACTGAATGTCACTGTTGTATAATTGTGACTTCCTTTACAGTTTCAAGCCTGAGCAGCTCAGTAATTACACATAGCATTGGCCTTGCTCTAGTTTTAACATTGTCCTTTCAATAAAAGTGTTCTACCATCTATTTAAGCCTGTGTAGATATACTAATTTCAGATTTTGTGCCTCAGCATTTCAGTTATTTGGTATTATTTACTTTGACACAACACTGTTTCTTGGTCACTACGTGATGTTAATATATGGCTATAACCTCCTTTACTAACATCTAAATGATGAGAAGCCGCAAATACAGAGTGCTTAAAGAATTTTAGTTATTCACTAAAAATAATACATTTTAGATATTCTCGGTAATAAAATATTGCATTATTCCCACTATTTTATGGCTATTACTGCTGATGATGTGCCAGCAATACTGTTGACAGTAGTTGTGTTAGTTTTGTCGTGAGATGCCAGGGGCCAGTACTACGAAGCAGGGTTAGATGCTTATTGAGAAAATTCTGAGTTTAAATCAAAGGCTTTTTTTGTATTACAAGCTTTCCTCTTGTTTAACAATGTATGCATCATTAGATATTTACATACACCCAAATGAATATATGCTTAACGTCCCTTCCACTTGAGCCATTAACAACCTTCTGGCTCAGTTCTGTCTGGAAGAACACCCAAACTGAACCGAGACCAAGAACAAGTTTCTGTTGCCTAGCCATCACCTTTAGGTCTGACTGAAATCTGCAGTGACCCACATGGACAAGCTAACCGCCTCCTGAAGAACAGATTTATGGTCAGACTAGACAAGGATGAAGCTATGTCAGTTTTACAGATACTGTAAAAACTAATTTAGATAGTCTGGTTTGCAGGCAGAAACAATTTGGTTTAGGTTGCGGTTTGTTGCAGAAGCCTGGTGTATTCTGCACTGTCCTTTGCAAAAGCAGGTTTTCATGTGATTGGGATCATTGTCCTGTAAGAACACCCAATAATATCGTAGTACAAAACACCTCGCTGTGGATTTGAGGCAAAGTTGAAGAATTAGCATGTTGAAACACTTCCTTCTTTCATTCACTTTTTCCAATGCACACTTTGCCACTATTTATTGAATAATATAGATGAGTTTATGTATATTTTTAAATATTTCTTGAGATGAAATCTAGAAGAAATGAAAACTTTACTCTTGGTTTCAAAAACATCATTGAAATTGCATGTTGCATAATAATGCTACTATGGAGTTCTAACAATTTAAATAAGTAGTTCACCACCAAACTATATCCATCTCCATGAGTTGCGATCCCAATTCTAATTTCTAGCTGCCAAATCTCTAAAAGAAATCCTGCTTCGTAGTACAGATGATGTTGAAATGTGTGCAGCCTTCAGAAAGACCAGAGTGCCACAAAAACTCTCTGATCACTCTTCAACATAAACACCAAGAAACTAAGAAGAAGGAAAATGGCATCAGAATAATGTCCAGCAAAGTTTCCTTCACACACTGCTTGCATAAATCTCTTCATTAAATCATCTGTTATTTACAACAATGCATGTGATCCTTAGCAGTCCAACCAGTCTTTTGAACCATGTCCTAAAACACAATCCAAATATTAAACCCAACCTCATTTGGACAAAAGTAACAAAAGTCTGAGTTTTTTTTTTTTTTTTTTATATATATATATATATACAGTAAATTACGTTTGACAACTTTCAAGTAAAACAGCTGAATACTGATGTGTTCACACAGCAGAGGAGACTTGGTTTAAACTACAACTGAAAATCATCCTAACGAAGCGTCATTCATGTTGTCCACACCGCTCAACGTTGAGGACAAATCTCAGAATGGTCGTATGATTTCAGTTTGACCAATGTGACAAGAAACGGACAAAAACGTCATCAACAGATGATGGACAGAACATTATGACTAATTCTTCTTTTCATCACTGAATCTACTGAAGGAAAATGCTAAACAATTATTTTTCAAAAGTATAGAAAAGCCATCATAACCACGTACAACTAAGCCGCTGATTTCTCTGCCTCAAAGAATGGAACATATTTCTTGAACTATTGTGAGTGAATAAGCAACACCCACAGTTTTGTTTTGAATAGTAATCCATTGATAATAATCAATGTGGGGAAAAAAAGGACAAAAGCACACAAATATCCAAAAATTAAAATTCAGACATTTGAGGACCAGAGATTTTTTTTTTTTTTGTCATTGTTGTTCATCTTTTTTCCCTTAATTTTTTTTCTTACTCAAGTTTAAAATACATATATTTACCAGCTGTATAAGATTTACAGAGGAATTCGGATTCATCAAAAAAATCACAGTTTTACGTCAGTTCAGCTTTCCTGGCTTTGTGGTGGACCTCGAGTCCAGGACAGTTCCAGTCCAGTCCAGTCCAGACCGGCCTGGTCCAGTGCCACGGAGTAGTAATGGCCATTGCTGGGGCAGTAACGTACTGATAACTGTGTGCCATCATGTGCTGGGAAGATGGCAAATAATTGCTAGAGTTTGTCACACTGTGCTGTACTCACTCTGTTCTTTCACACTGCAGGAAGCTCAGCGCAGCTCAGCTTCACCAAACCAGTGTGGGGGGCTTTTGCCTGTAGTGGGCACTGCAGAAGAGTTAAAGGGCCTGAGCAGACTACAGAGGCCAGGGGTTGCTCAAAGTTTATGGCTGAGGGTCTCACTTGTGAAGATATTAAAGAGAAGAAAGTGAAAGATTTCCTGGAGCAGAGGAACGAACTCCGCTCCCAGGTTCTTAGATGAGACGGAGGTCAGAGGAAACGAGGGTCGATGAAGCCGGAGAGTGCCTTCAGGGGGAAAGAGGTCATCTATGTGGTCAAAGAGATACCTGCAGGAAGCAAGAAGATGAAATAAGGCTGTGAGAAAACAGAAAGGGGTGCAAACAAAATCCAAGTTTCAACAATCAATAGAACTGTGCAGTGATCTTTGTCACACAGGCTTACTTTGCTTGCACTTTGCTTCCTCTGAACCGAATCCACTTTGACTCTTCTAAAGTGGTCGTCATCAATCAGTCTAGTTTCTAAAAGTCTTTTCTCTGTTTTTTTATAAGCCTGCTTTTCTCATGCTTTTCAGTACAGTACTTTCAACTGAATCTACGCTAAGTAAAATTGCCTTTTGATGAAATTATAGCTGCAAACATTTTAGTGAATAGATTGAGAAACCTGGTATTATTTATGGCATTTCATAAAAAGTGTCTTTTAACTGAAACGAGTCGCAGAAACATTACTGCAGGTTAACAGGACTGTGTGTAACCCAGAGTGTAACTTCTTCGTCTGTCGGTTTTCTTTTTAAGCTGACCTTTAAACTGACTTCCAGCCACAGGATGCTGCAGGTGCAGCTTTGGCTCTGAGCTCAATAACAGCAAAGATTAAATGGTGTCAGCCTCCAAGCTGCTCTGCAGTGTGACCTATGAACCATGTGATCTTGTCTGTGTCAATTGACCAGTCTTTACCAACTGCAAAAGCAAAAGGTGCAGTTTTAGGCAAGTGAAATCCATTTGTAAGTTAAATGATTGGAAACTGTATTATAAAGTGGTTCTAAAAACGATTTGGAGAGAGTTATTATTCAAAAGCATTTGAAGTTGTCTCAAATGATTACAGGACATTTTCTAACTACCTCTAGTGGCTGTAAACCATAAATTTTCATCTTTCATCTGTACAATAAGGACAAAACAACTTCTTTTACAAAGACAAATAGCAGTGGAGAGTTGACCCACCGATTCAGTGTTTCTGCTCGGTGTCACCGGTGGCCATCTTCAGCAGATGGTCTCCAGGTGGCGAGAGTTCTGCAGAGATCAGAAAAAAAAAGCAAAGGAAGACATAAAAGATGTTACCACACAATGAAAAATCCTTTCACATTTCTCCACATAACTTCTGTTTAGAAGAAATGAAAATATACAATGTCATGTTAAAGTATTCAAATTTTTTGTCACATTTAAATGTTTCGGGTCAAATGTATTTTTACAATTAGACAAAGATAATCGTGTTAAACACAAAAGCAGCTGTCAAGTGATTCTCATTTTTTATGCGAGAAAAGTATGTGGAAAGTACAGGGAGAATTGATTTTCCACGAGTCCAATAACTGCCACCACTGGCAACGAGTCTTTTTCATCATTTGGAGGATTATTGCTCCACTCTTACTTGGATTAGAGTTAAAAGCTCTGACATGTTTAAGGTCACCCTAAATCTTCACAATCATATATAAGTACAGACTTTGACTAGGTCACTCCAAACAAGTATTGTTTTTACCCATTTAAGGGTGAACTTGTCAGATGCATATCCTGCTGCAGCCTAAGGTCACAAAGTACTGGTGGACATTTCCCTTCCAAATTGTTGAGGAGAAAGAAGAATGAAAGGTTTTGCTTCTATGACTGCTTCGTCACAGTACTGAAGCAACACATGTACCCCAGATTATCTCACTTATCGCAGTGCATCATGTTTTTGGTATGATGTTTGTTTTCTTAAATTCTGCATTTGTTTCATGCAAGATGAAACGGGTAGACACCTTACAAAATGTCAGACATCTCTTTGTTTTCTCTTAGGTCAGCTGTAGCTTTGTCCTTTTATCCCTCTCATGGATGCCAGTTTTGCCCAGTCTCTTTGAGCTTGAGTCATGATCACTGACCTTACCCAAGGCGTGTGAAGCCCACAGTGCTTTAGATGTTACTATGGGTTCCAATGTGACCACCTGGATGAGTCATCTGCTCCTAGGAGGGATTACTGCTGCGCACCATTTGTACATAAAAGTTCTGGCTGACATTCATTGGTATCCCAAACTTGTTACCTAACCCTCTCCAGACTGATTCATGTCTTTTGTTTTTTATCTATTCTCTAATTTTGTTGGATTAGGGCATGATGTGTTGTTTCCTGCGATCATTTAGCCAACTTCATGTTGTCACTCAGGCTCTATGATAGATTACTTGATTCTAAAGGTTTGTTATTAACCTGGATGTCGCACAGTTCATTTAACATTTGACTGTAACTCTATTGTCATATGTCTGAGAGGCTTGATCAGCCTTAATATTTTAAAATGTCACTTAAAAACAGTTTCTTGCATTCACACAGCTTACATTTATTTTTACATATGTTATTACATTTATTTTACCATCTGAAATATTTAAGTGTGACAGTAAAGGCAAACACACAACCAGTCTACAGCCTGAGAAATACTTTTCACATCACTGTCTGCATCTTACAGGTGTGTCGTTCCACTGCCGTGGTAAATCTTCAGGTTCGGGTGGATAGGACATCCAGGAGGGACTCCGATATGAGGACGGTGGAGACATGACGAAGTAGTCTGAGTAACCCGGACGGTTGGCTGAGATAGCATAGACAGCTGTGATTGGGTTTCCTGTTAGGATGACATTAATATTGAAAACAAACCACCCTCCTGTCCCCAGTGTTTCAACATGCTAATGCTTTGTCTTGCCTGAGTAGGTGCTGATGGACTGATCTACAGTGACAGCAGGGAACGGTGTCCTAGAGAGCGGCAGGTAGGGGGCGCCGTTGTGCTGCTGGGTCTGCAGATCTGATGCTTCAGACACACGGGGCTTCAGACTCACATCAGGGGTAGAGCTGTTACTGCAGAAAAAACACAGATTTCAACTCCCAACAGAAAAAAAAGAAACCTATAAAATAATCAGCAGCACCAAACTAGAGCTTCATCTAGCTCAAATGTGCTGCACGCTTCTGCTGTGAAACATAACGATGTCCTTATGAACATTATAAGTATATAAAATGGATATGAAGCTCTATAGAGTAAGTTGTAAATTATTTTCCATTAATCATGGTTTTGATCAACTAGTTGACACTCATTAAATTGCCTTTATGGTCTTTGTTCAAACCGGAAGTAGCCTGAAAAATATCAAGGAAAATAAAATTACACAAAAAGATTAAAGTTGGAGGTTGTTTGTGTTCCATTGCTTAATCATATTCTCAATTTCATTTGAAGTACAAGTGTTGCATTTTATGCCAAATAAGATGTAAATGCAAGCCAGTTAAATTCTCTCAGTTCTTTAGTGAACATAAATTTATAAGATACAGTTTTACATAAACTCTATGCTGTTTTTGAAAAGTAATTAAAACAAATAACTTGAGCGTGGAAGTTGGGGTTGGAGTTGAATCAGAGCAGTAAAAGTGACTCGAGGTTTTATGTTTGATCTGTGCTGACAGTTCAGTTGTCAGCTCACAGGGTGCAGCAGGCAGGGAAGGTTGCTCCTGAGTCATGGGAGACAAAAGCAACACAAATGTTATCTGACATCCAGAGAGAGCACTTTGAACAGTGCAACCGAAGGCAGATAAACCTGTAATTATGTGAGAATAAACATAAGTAGTGACAAAGGAACGCTCTGAATAAAGTTGAACAGCTGAATGATTAGAAATAAAACAATATTTCAGTTTAGGAGTCAGTGATGTCCTTCCACTTGTTACCCACTTTATACCTAAGCATTGCCGCTTTGTCAACTACTTAACCATTACGTATTATTACATTTTTCTTGACAGTTGAGTATTTTGATAAATTACAAAAAAAAACCTAATCATATACGTGTTCAATCTCATTTAGAATTGAGTTTAATTATATATCACTCAGTCTGTAATTATGGCCCACAATCCCATTAAATTCACTTGACTCTTATAGCTCAGATTATAACCCCAGATTAATCAAACTACCTATGCACAACCTCCTGCTGCGAGATACTAATTTTTTTAGTGACAAAGCCCTTTTTTTCTGCAGCAAATTGAGAGTGCATCATAGAAAATACCTGTAAATAACTGGTTGTCACAAACCACTACTCCATTGTCAAGTCTCATGGTAACTGCCTGGTTTGGTTGTAGCAAGTCTGATGCATCTACTACAGTTGTTTTTCAGGTAACCACTGCTTTGCAATGATGAACCGGTGGGCAGATTATCTTAAGTTAATTCACAAAATTAAAACAAGAGGAATCCAAAAATCTAAGTTTACGTCCAGACATAATATACAAATTTTTCATTTATTACAAAAGCAAAGAGAAAATAAAGCATCCTGTCAGCATCATAAACAACCACCAGAAACAACTGAAGCGTCATGAGACATTTGTGAGTCAATCCTGTTACCGTGCATGATGCATAAAAAAAGGTGAATAACCATCTAAACATTTAATCACATTGAAATTTTTTGATATTTGTTTTACCTGGCATGTGAAACAATTTTTGAAGCACCATTGTTTCAAAAATCTTCACTATGGATCCTGAACTTTGCACCTGCTCTGTGTGCAGAGCACAGTTTCTGCTGTCAGTGAGATATTATAAATCATCCAGCACATCACAGCACAGTGGCCTGCACTGTAGAAACACTGGATGTTGAAGCACTGCAGGACCAGGGGACAGATGAGGTCACTGACAGATCTCAGAGCCATAATCCACAGAGCACATTAATGCCGCACAGTGCATACTAAAGAGGAATTAACATGCTGCTCTCCTCCTCCCACAGGAGCACAGAGGAGCTGAAGTCTGCAGAGCTGAGTGATTAACCACCAAAACCTCCATTTAAATAAATAAATAAAAAAACTGCTTGGATTTCAACAAAACTGCTCTTATTGCCCACATCAGTAATACAAATCTTAAGAACTCAATTTTGTGCTTAGAATAATGATGTTTGTCTCCCTTCGCTGCTTTGCTTGTGCTTTCTGCAGTGCTTTCTATACACAGCCCACTAGATGGCGATCACGCTACTTCTTGGGAACTTGAACATCAGAGCAGTCAATCACTTTCTGCAGTGCTCAAGTGCCCAACAACACAGAGCACACAGCAACAGCATTGAGATGAAGAGCATGCTCAGTTCACGTGATGCAGACTAACATATGGGCCTGACAGAGGGAAGTTAGCGTGCAGAGTCACTTTAAATGATGCCGATTAAGATTCTTTTCGTTCTCGTGTGTTCTCTTCAGTGGCTTTAAATCTGTTTGACTCATTTTGAGACGCCAACCTTCTGTTTAATTTGCGAGCCTTTAAATGCTGTGTGGGAGGATTTCCTGTAAGCTAAAGTTCCAAATGTCTCAACAATGCAAAATTGTTATAAACAATTCCTTTCAGTGAGAGGACATAGTGTTTTCTTCCTGTTTGTCCTGAAGTTGATACAACATATTGGGTTAGTGTATTTGCGCCAGTGTCTTTTACCATCGTATTGAGGTTCCAGGTGGCGGTCCCGGTCTGGAGGGGATTAGAGGCGGAGGAGAACCGATGCCCATATCGGGAAGCTGAGTGAACCGGAAACCCTGCAAGAAGAGAGTCAATACACAAGAAAATAAAACACAACTTAGAACAAAAAGTAAGCAACGGGTTTATTCATTTGAGTTGCAAATAGTGGTTTAATTATTGGAACCAGCTCAAGTTTTTATTTCCATTGTCTATTGAAGCTCCTCTATTTAGCTGCTGTGATGTCAAAAACTATCCGAAAACATTTTGATGTAAATAATTAAGATCTGTTTTATATAACTTAGAGTCTTTTTAACAAATAAAGAAAAGAGGCAAAGTGAAAAGACTCCCTTCATCAGTATGATGAATACTGAAGCATTGCTGTTGCTCCACACTGCTGGTCAGCTGGTTGAAAAAGAAAACTTTGACCTGTCTCAGCTGCTGTGTTCATTCATATTCATGATGCTGTTTGTTGCACACAAGTGAAATCAATTTATAATGTCAAGTCATTCAAACAAGCTTCATCAACACAATTATTAAAGCAGAAATAAATAATAAAATAAAACATGAGCTAAAAATTTTATTGGATTGCAAAAATTCTATACGTATTAAGTCAGGAGACCTATAAAGGCAAATGGCTGCTCTGGGTTTTATTTATGGGAATCTGAGAGAAGAATACAGATCGCACGCCATACTTCCCAGACATTTATTTGTAAAAGTTGTTAAAACCTTGAATCATTTTCATTATTTTACTATGAAATTATGAACTACTTGTGTTGCTCTTTATAATGACATTCCCAAGAAATATGTAAAAGTTTGCTGTTGTAACCTAATACAATGTGGGAAGGTTAAAGTGGCAATACTTTTGCTTAAATAGAATTTATACAACAACTAACTGAATACAGCCTTTCTTTCCCAAAGTACATTAAAAAGTGGTTCAAAATAAGCTCAACAGCCGGCATTATTTTATGGCTGCAACTTTTAATTTAGCGCTTACCGGTTTAGGCAGGCTACATTGATGCATGTCTTCGTAACCTGCGCTTCTCTGCCTGCCTCCACAGGGGTGGTTCATAGTCCCCGGAGCGCTGGTCACACCATCACTGTAGTGGCTGCTGTGTGAGGGGTTGTAGACACTGTGGGCATGATGGTGGTGATGGCGGTGGCTGAAATTCAGAGAAAAATGGTGTCAAAAACAGAAAAGAGGTATGGTTTTACACTTGAGTCTCTCGCCAGTATGCTCGGGAAAACTGAGCAAACATGTTCAGGCTTTAAATGTATTCCAGCTTTTTTTCGAGAAACAGCTTGAGAGTGGGATGTTTGCTCTTCAAAAAGTTCAAACTGTGCACCAGGGGACCTCTCGCTTCTCCACACAATACTGTGAGTGATGCAGATGTTCTGGCAGATAAAGCATCAGTGAGAAAAATAAAATTACTTCGTTGGAGGGGAGGGAGGGTCATGATCCGGAGGCGCCAGGCTGAAAGCGTTGCCAAGCAACATGTGCATCTGCGTGCGGACCTCGTCAATGGACGGCTGTGAGCTGAGTGTGGAGGAGTCGGATCCGCGGTGAGCTTTCACCCCCAAACTGCTGTTCCCGGTTCCAGTGGATCCTCCTCCGTAACCCAGAGAGCTCATCAGACGGTCCATGTTGGTCTCCTCAAACCGTTCTGGTTCCCCCTGGCAAGGCAGAAAGCGCACTCAGAAAACAGACTGGGAGTGCAATCGTTATCTTTCCTATGTTGTTAGTTTTAACAACATTGACATTCAGCCAGGTAGCACAGTGCATGTGTCATTACAGTGCATCAGAGTCGCAGCAAAAAGAATATTCCACTCATCTCTAATTCTTTTTTTTTTTTCAACTTTTGCCATAATAAAACAAAGAAGTCACTCCATCTGTTCTTTTTTAATCACTTCCTTTTTTTCATTTTCATGTCTTTATCTCTGTTTTATAAAGTTCATGGGAGGGTAAGTTTATTAATCCTCTTGGTCTGAGCAGAGAGGAAGAGGAAAGGAAAGAAGGGATGGGAAGGATTAAAGTTATAAATACACAGGGGAGATTATTTTAATAGATTGACAAAGTGGCAGTGATTCACTTTGCCACAGCGATCAGTTAACTGACTGAGTCAGAGGATCTGAGCTGGCCGCTGCAGCTTTGGAGAGAATCTGAGTTTAAAGCTCAGTGTGATCTGGCTGCAGCTAAGTTTCAACTACAGGAAATCTTTCAGTCATAGGTTAAAACACCCAGTCCAATAAATATGTGTAAGAGGATTTATTTTTTTTCCAGACCTTTTTAGTAATCTAAAATATTTGTTCGTTTGTTAGTTTTACAAAATTGTTTCACTTTGCGTAAAACCGGAGCTGATGTCCAGTAGTTACACTGTCTCTGTACATGTCAGAAAGATGCATTCAATCTGTGTTAAAGGTGTCAAAGGACTGATTCAGAGGATGGAACGGCTCTAGATACATACGTCGTAGCCGTTATTTCGGATCCCCCTCCTGGATCTCTCCCTCAGCACCAGCAGGTCCATCTCTGTCTCCACTGGGCTGGGGCTGCTCAGAGACTGACGGCTCCAGTAGGTGGGCTCTCGTGGGTGGGAGTACCTGGTAACCAGATGTTATCAGATATAACTCAGGGTTTTTTTAATTCTTTTATTTTTCACTTACTTTTTTGTATTTAACTCAACCATTAGAATAATGTTTGCTAAATCTAGCAAACATTTCTAAATTTTTCAGACGAGGTTTAAAATCAACTGTGCCTGTGAGTTGGACTATTAAATTTTTATTTGGAAAGTTTAACTCTTTTAGCATCAAGTTGTTGCAACTAAAATGTCATTCAAAATCAGTGCGTTCATGTGTGGGTGGAAAACATTATTATTTTTTTACTGTCTAAAACTAAAACTAACTTCTCAGTCTCACACTTTGCAGATATATAATTGAATATAAACATTTCACTCCTAATCTTAAAGACTCATTTATACAAACAGCACCTCCGTTCCAATAAGTTGCATTTCATACAGTGATAAAATTTCTGTGATTTGATTAAGGAGGATAGATGATAGTGAGCTGAAGTGAAACTGGCTTTTATATGTGAACTTTTGCATGTTGCTAAGCAACAGTCACAAATCTACACTGAGCCTTTTATTATATTTGCTGTGGATTTTCAGTTAAATCCACAAAGTATTAATAATGTTATGCACAAACGTGTATTAATTACCACCAGTTTCACACAAGCAAGATCTACAGAGGATAACAATGTTGAGACTTTAATGCATCTGTGATGAAACTAAGAGGAATGCAAGACAAACTATTTTTATGAATCTGTGAAGAACTGTGATGACGAAAACTCTTTTGTTAATTTAAAACTATCTAGCTTAAAACAAATTTACTATAAGCCAATAGATGTTGGTACTAATTAGCTTACGACAGTCCATGCTTTGCCCCTTCTGTGGTTGGTACCACACCCCTGATTCTAACAGACAGATCTAGAAAGGAGATCTTAAAATAATAAAAAAGAGAGATGTTGAATGACAGCTGCAAAAGCTGCAAAGACTTGAAAGGTACTGATGGACAAAATCTAACTGCCTACTTTTCCACTGTTTTTTTTTTTTTTTTTTGCAATGCAGAAACCCTGTTGACTAACCCGTTATGGTAACGGAAACATCTGGCTGTGGGAATGCGTTGCTTTGAAACTAATAGGGAAACTATTCAGGAACAAGTGGGAAAAGATGCAATTAAAGTTACATTTTCAGAATTTTAGTCAGGCATTGTCTTGCTGTTTTTTCTGGTTGTTTCTTTGTTATCTTAGGTCAACTCCTCACCTCTTATGACATCCTGCAAAAGAGGCCCTCTTCTCCTCAGCAGTCATGGGCGGTTTGATGCCGCCGTCATGTCGGGTGTGTCTGCTGTCACGGTGACTGTAACCATGGTTGAGACTCTCAGAGAGCGAGAACTCGCCGTACCCCTTCCTTCGAGCCTTTTGACGCAGTTTATTTCTGTAGTGCTCGATGTCCGACTTCTGCTTCAGCCCAACGTGGTTTGCCTACAAATAAAGAAAGATTTGAGTACCGGTGTCTGTTCATCATGTTAAAAAAGAAACCAAAACTATCTGTCTGACAAATTGAAATGTTTCTTTTTTTTGTTTGTTTTTACACATTACAGACAGTCAAGGAACCTTTCACACCTTAACTATATTTTTTTCTTCAAAGGACACCTATAAATTGGGAAGGCTCAGAATCCCCTGAGGTTGGTCCTGGTATTGTGTTATGTGGGCTGAGGAATATATTTTGTCAGTCTCAGCTTGAGAAGTGCATAGGCTCAGAGGCAGAACAAGAGTGAGACGTGAGAGATTAGATGAGGGAAACTGTTTGCCCCAACAACAGCTAAATTCAGTAACAGCACAATGTGTCCCGGCGGGGATGGGATGTTATACAAGGTGGGAGGACGGGATAATAGATGGCTAAAGTGAGAAATTGACAGATTAGACAGTTATCGTTAAAATTGAATGAATTTTATGTTGGGCTTGATGTAGAATCATTCATTACGCAAAAACTGATATAGCAAATATAATATATTTAAAAGAAAACAATTAAATCCAATGGTGTCCTTAATCTTTAAGTGTCCTGTTTGTGTCAAAGCCTGAAGGTGAGGAGTGTCAGCATCCAGACAATGAAGTTAACAATGTGTACCACAAATCTAACCAACCAAATGTGGCTCAGTTACTATTTGTACTGACAACACTAACACTATGAGACAGACCTCCAGGTGTGCGCTTTGCAGACTCACCTCCCCGTTGACGACCACGGAGTCCTGGCTGTGTGAGGAGGAGGGATAGGAGTAGGTGGGCTGGGCCGTCATGGGTTTAATGGTGATGAGACGCAGAGAGCCTGAATGGTCCTCATAAGGGTCTGGGAAGAAGACACGTCAAATAATAAGATATAATGGGTGGTATAGAAATTCTATTAAAATGTGTCTAGTAGAGAAAAAGAATATTGAACAATGCAGTTTTTATTTCTTGTGATACCTTTATTTTGATTAAACATCCAAAATTTATCAAAAATGTTTTGAGAGAAGAACATGTATGGAGATAAAATGACAAGTCAAAACACTAAATTTAAACAACAAAGAATTGCAACGTCATTTTTTGCAAAACTTTAATAGAACCACAAGTTTTTTAGAGAAATGTCCACTGAATAGCTGGTATCAAAGTTCAGACGCCTTAATGCACAGTGTGTTGTTTCTCAAACAGATCATTGCAACTATCAATAATGGAGGTAGAGGGATGATGATTTGGGCTCTTTGGGAACCTGAGTCACTGAATCAACCATGATCTTCCCTTTTAGTCAAATATGATGCCATCTGATCAACAGCTGAAGCTAGGAGCAAACTGGGCTATCAACAGAGCTGCAACAAAATGGCTAAACAACGACATGAAGGTTTTGTTTTTGCCTATAAAAGCGACAACTCAAACAGTCATGGGAACTTATCAAAAACGTGGGAACACAAAATGTCAGTGAAGTGATGCAATGTTGCAAAAACTTCTTCGATGAAAATAAGAGACTAATAAAATCTTACAGCAGCGATTACTGTGAGGTATCGCTGCTGCAGGCTCTTCCAAAACCCAGCTGATTTTTCTGAACAGCTTTGTCTCTTTGTTTTCATGCTCACTTTGGCCTGGATGAACTGTTGCAAAGAGGGGGGGGAAAAAGCATTGTATCACAAATCTCTTTTATTTAGATCCACTTGTTGCCATGGGAACAACAAAGTTAGATGAGGAAATACAGAACAATCTGCGTTTTAATAGTAATGCTGAGAGAAAAACAGCAAACAACCTCATGTTTATCTTGACGAAACAACATCACTGCACTGTGGTGGATCTCAGACATGTGAAGCTCGTATTTAAGGTGATGCAGTGTGTTATTGAAGAAGGGAGCAGATGGGCGGTGTTGTGTTGCTCTGAGTCCACTCTGACTCACTCCCAGACTGACATCATGATAACTCAGCTCGAAAACTAACAGTGTCAACCGGCCTTCATCTTGGCAGCAGCTCAGCTTGCATTATTTGTTACTGAAGCTGTGTCAAGCATGACAGTCGAGGTCGGGATATCAGGTGGGCGTCACAAACAGCAGACACCATAGACCAGATTGGACATTTTAACAATGCATAAAGATAATACAAACACTTGACACCCACATCTGCCGTGACAATAGTTTTACTACCGTCACAGCAGATGTTCAGCACAATATTTATATTCAAACATTCTTTTTTCGAATGCTGATTGCTGTGTGTTTGGTGTTGCTTTGAATTTGTGAAGGACTTTAATCAAGGATATAAATATTGTCAATAAAGTTGCAGCTTAGTGGAGGAAAAACACAGTAAAAAGCAAATGCACACTTTCAGTGTATGAATAATTTGGTTCTCAACTAGCTTCTCAAATGTACAGAACGACCCACAATGAATTCTACCTTTTCATCTATGTTCTTTTGTCATCATTAGTGTTGCAGCCCAAGTGTATTCAGGCTGCAAAGGAGCCTGAATACACTTTCTTCAGCCTTGCAGAAGATAGTGAGGGGAGTTAAAGGGTCTTTGAAAAGGGTCTACATCCTCTGCTAAGAATCTATTTCAGAAATACTAAAGAAATTGGACTCTGAACATTGTCAGAGACTCTTTATGTCCTTTCAAAGAACTGACATATAAAAATGTATAACTTTTTTCAATTCACAATTACATGACTTTGAGTCCACTGCATTACAATTAGAATCAAATTGAACTGTATGCAGCCAAATTTGAATCAGTCTTCTTAACTGGATTGTAGTGGATTGCTCTGTTTAAATATTCCCTTTAAAAAGAATATGAATTTGAACTTGTTTTTTTGTAAAGTGCAATGGGATAACATTGTGAAATTGCTACTCACAAACTTAGCTGTACTGAGATTAATCATTCCCTTTTTAAGCTTTCCTGCAAATACACCAGCAACTCTGTTATGTGCCAATATTGGTATCATTAGTATTCAACAACAATGTTCAAACATGTTAATCCTGCAGATGATGCAGAGCAGAAATCTGGAAATCCCCACTCAGGGTGTAAAAGTAAAGTGGTAGTAGTAATAAACTTTATTCCGAAAGGGAGAATGTTCAGCTTAAGTATAAATGTCGTCATTTGATGCAGTGTACCAGATTATAGCACAAACACATTTGCATCTGCAGTCCTCTAAAGCTTTCAGGAAAAGTTTATTTTTTCACCCTGCTCATTCATTCTAATAAAAAACCTAGTCTTGTCCATTTCGAGGACCCTGCAAACACCAGCAAAAGGCTGAAACAAACAAACATCAATTCTTGCTGAGATATTCATTAATTAAGCTAAACTGAATGACAAATTACACAATTTACTGTGAAAATGCGTATGGCCGAGCAAAAGAGATTGAAAGTCATTCTCCTGGACTCTTTGGGTTAAAAAAAAAGTTGAGGAAAAGTTATGCAACCAATCTTGAGTGTGCAGCAAAACAAAACGATCTGTCACCTCTGATCTTTGGTACTATCTAGACACAATAAAATATTTATCACCAAAATGAAGTCTGTCTTGTGAAGCACTATATAATTGCTGTGTAAGCATGTCTTTGTCAAGTGAAGGGGTCTTCAAGTGCAGTCCTCCAGCTCCACCTGGATCAAATTAACAGCCTCTGCAGCAGAACTCGATGGCATGCTGAAGGGGTAATTTAACCAGCTTATTTAGATAGTTTAGGGCCAAGGACACATCTAAATTGTCTTGCAGGACAATGGCTTTCGAGGACTAGAGTTGGAGACCAGTGGTCTGCCTAAAGAAGTCTGTGGTATTTTAGAAACTCTGGTGGTTTATGTTTGATGCTCTCATTCTGATGATAACATGTTCTTTAATTGTTTTCACTCCTGTCTTGTTGTAACCTCCGCAATGTTGTGTTGAGACAGCATGCATTATCAAACCAGAAATTGCAGTGGAGGAGGTTAGCCATCAGTAATTCTATTATTTGCACCATTTCTTTGCTGTCGTCACACATCAAACTGCCTGGCAGACATGCTATTGTTTTCACAATGCACAGATTTTACAGTCAATGAATACAACACCTAGTTGAACATGTGTTACCAGCTAAAGCTGAGAAAAAAAAAATTGATTTGCTTTTCACCTGTAACCTTCTGTTGCCAGTTGTCAATGGTGTTGAGGTTCAGTGGATCTTGTATTTTATGAAAAGGTGCTGTATTTAGACTGATTATCCAATTAGCATATTGAAATACATGCCCACATACATACACACTATGAGCTGTGAAATCATAGAGGAAACAGAGGGCGTCCTAGTGAAGTTGATACTGGCAAGAGCTGACCAAAGTAACCATGGACTTAAGTCTTGTAGAACAGCTGTGATCTTGGAATAATGTTTTGGCTTTTCCATGTTATGTTTTTTTTTCTTTGTAATTTGGTATCAGTTCCAGACCAACAACTCCAAAGTTTCCAGAGGAGTTTCAGATAATTTTGATTAATTTATATAATTCAGAACACCACTTTCACATGTATGACCATGGTCATTTCATAGTCTATCTGCACCATTCTCATAGAAGACTTGAGCAACCTCGTAGCTGCACCTCGTAGCTGGGCTCTAAAAAACTAGGCTATTTTTTAAGATTGCAGAGGCTTCTTTCTGAAAAGGGGACACATTTATGATGTAAAACAACAACATTTTGATGGTAATTCCATCAGATTCCGGTGTTTAAGCTTCTGTGTCAGATCTTCTCTATTTCTGTTTATGTTTAATGAGATCAGGAAGGCATGTATGGTTCCCCAAGCACGGACTGGCGAGATTTAATTGCATAACAGCAACAGTCAGAAAGTAAATAAAATTCCTGCAGTGCTAATTTGCTTTTCATGGTCTCTTTGGCAGTTCTTTAGTATGTGTTTCACCTCAGGATAAGAATCCCTCAGGTTTAACTCTGACTCACACAAAACCATAAAGGTTTGATAATTGTGAATAGTTTTGAAGTGACAGCATGCTGTCATATATTTTCCCACCCACCTTCCTGACTTTTCTCATGTGGTCTAATTGAAAAAGAACCTGAAATTATATATTCAGCTGGTGACTATGTTTGTCTCTGTACAGGAATGAGGTGAAGCAAAGCAAAAGAAAAAGCACCAGAAATACTGAAATCGGAACTTGCCAACATAAGTAATGCAGGATGTGACAGGATGAGTATTTAGGCTTCAGCCAACATGACGCCTTTAATGTGAACCTGTGAGTCGTCAGTGGCTTTATGAAGAATTTCACAATTCGCAATAATTATCCTTTAGGTTAAAAAAAAATCATTGAATAAAAATGCAGTGGGTGATTTTTTTGTGCCAATCAAAACATCCAAACTTTCATTACGATGGACTAAAATTAAACTTATATCCATCCATCCCTCTTTCCTCCGCTACTGTTTCCTTCTCCTCACCGTTGTTGCTCCTCTTGTGCAGCTCCTCCTTGCCGTTCTTGATGCTGCTGCCTGTTGCGGTCCTCCGGGCCGAGGAGGTTTTGCTGGTGTTCAGCTTCCCTGAGCTGTTACTTGACACTGAACCATCCTCCTCACTTGGCAACCGTCTGTAGTGGCCATGGCAACAGAGAGACAAGAGAGAGACGGTAGAAGAGGGGGGGGGGGGGGGGGGGGGGAAGAGGGAGGGGGGCGCTTGTGAGTGTGTTCACAAAACGGGCATCATTTCACAGTTATTACTGGCAGCAGACTATCAACTTTAATTACAAGTGAGGAAAACAATGTTCGTGGGTAATTAGCGACAAGAATAATTTTAAAAGGGCTTTAGAAAGAAACATGTTCCAAAAGTCTACAAAGCAACTCTGAGGACGCAAGCGAAAAAGAGATAAAACTCAATTTCTGGTTAATTATTTAGATCTGAAAACATTCAGAAAAATTTAACAAGTGTATTCTTTTGAAGAAGAATTTAAAATTTTATAAAGAATAGTTGGAGAGAGGGATGACCTTATTTATACCTTGGGAACATATTGAATCACTAAAACATGCAGGTTTTTGGTGTTTTATTTTGTTTTTCTTACAAACAAAAGGAATTGTTGAATACTGCATGGGTGAAACAGTAATGGTTTTGAAAGACTTACAAATACAATTCTTAATGGTATGGTGTGCATTTGCATCTAGTCTCCTTTAACCTCGAGACAAAGTCAATTAATTTCTCAACACAACACATAGTTGACTGAATAAACTGAGTCTACCTGTGTCTTACTAAATTATAAATGTTCTTTGAAGGCCTAAAGTGTTTGTTACAGAATATTTGAGAGCATCATGATGAACAGTGGAGAACAGCAGACGGGTCAGGGATCTGGTTTAAGGCATTGTTAGGTCAGAAAATAATAACTCAACATTATCTATCTAAAACCTTTGAGCCTTTTTCAGAGAACAATCTAATATATGTGGTAACTCTGGAGAAGCTGCAGAGATCAACAGCTCATTTTGGACAATTTGTTAACACAATAACTATCAGTTGTTTGTTCCACAAATCTGGACTTTATACAGGAGTGAGAAGAAATGAATAGTTGACAAAAAGCAATATGAATTCCCTTGTTAACTTTACCACATGTTGTGTAAAATGATTTGAATTATGTACAACATGCTGATGGCAGAATCATACCGTGGAGCCTTTTGTGTGAGTATGTTTTTATCAGGGGTAGGGAAGTTGGTCTGACTTGATAGGAAAAATGGATTGAGCCCATTAAAGGCTAATCTTGGAGTAAAATGTGTTAAAGGCAGACAAAAATGAGTCCAGGGCAAAACCTTTTATCTGGAGAGGAACCTTTAGCATACACCCCAGGCTATGAAGGCATGTTTATGTGTGACAGTGGCACAGTAAAATGCAGACCTAAATTTTTCATTGTAACATTACAAAGTGTAGAAAAACTTTGAGGGGTATAAATACACTTATACCCCTCAAAATAATCAAATCAGGATATTGTGATGATTAATCTAAATTTCAGCATATTCAGATGGTATGGGCAAAAAATACATGTAAATAGATGTGGGTTGATGACAAATTTTCATCATAGACATAGAGCTTGCTGAATCGAAGCCACAAATAATTAAAGCGGTTCTTAAAGCAAAAGAAGGTCCAAACAGCAACTTGGTGAAAAAAGTAACCAGTAAACATAAAGATTTGTTTTCACTTTTTTTTTTCTGTTTGCTTCAAATGCACAGACAAAGCCATACACACTGTGGACACACGCATGCATACCCAGGGTTATGTCAGCTAGAGGAACCTCACTCCATGACAGGCTTGTCTTCAGGTGGTGTGAGACCCACGGATCAGCGAGACCAAAAATGGCAGAACCACAGGCGAGGCAAACGTGCAGCTTACATGAATACAAGTTCACACAGCTGTTACACACACACACACACGCACAGCCATGGCAGGAGCCAGCGATTGGCTGCTCTACAAGAAAAGAGCCGGAGGGATGGAAGGCAACATACAACGTGAGAACCATGTAAATTTGTTTGTGAAGGCCAAAGAGGGGAGCAGAAGAATCGGTAATCACACTGCTGGAAAGTGATGTTCATCCCAATATCTGTCTTCTGTCTTTCCTGTGTGCCTCACACATTGATGCTCCCTGGAGGAGGAACTGAGCAGAATAAATGCACTCCCATTGAACCTGTCCTCTGCTGCACCGTGCTTAACATTCAGTCTGTGCCTGTTTCTCTCCTCACACAATCAGCAGGTAAAACTACAGCTGCAGTTGTTTTTAGTTCAAAACAAGAAGCATTCTTCAGATGATTAGCTATTCGTTTCTGTCAATACAACAGAATTTACTGCATTGGCAACAGCTATTTTAATCCACTTGTTTGAATAAATCTTTGTTTTTAAACTCTTAAATTATGTAAGCTAGTACTAAATACTAAAAGTATGATTGAAATATTTTCTGAGTTTATTTTTGTTTTACATATATTCTCTGCTTTTCCAATCAGCTAGGAATGTCTAAATAGTATATTTTCTTAGCCACGTTTTAAAATTGGCAAGATGAGAAAACAGCATTTTCTTTTGGGTCAGATGATAAACATTTACCACAGCTGAGTGTTTCAACAAGACAACAACAAATACACATCAAAACTAGTTTTGGAGTGAATAATCAATGCCACCATAAAGCTTCTACAGAAATGGCCTTCACCTCTACTCTGTTAAAAATCTAATGACTACGCTACACCGCTTATCCAGAGCCAGAAAACCAATGTGTTTAAATGAACTTGAACAGTCTTGCCAAAAACAGAGGTCAAGCAGTCTCAATAATGCCAGAAGCTTATTGAAGGCCATACAGTGTGTGTTTTCTTTACAACCTGGCCAGGTACATGCATAAAAATATTAATGTAGTTGTGTGATTGAGTCATTTTTCGTCATTAAAATCTACTAAAGGTGCATGTTGTAACTTAAAAGAAGACTGGTTTAAGAGCATCATTAAAATGCCACGCTAAAGATAACGTTCATGCCCCTGATTTATGCATATAGACTTCAGAGTAGCACATGTTCTTATAACAAAGACACTTATTTCGATGTGCATCCTACAGTTTCAGTGACTTTACTATTACATGAGTAGGTATGTAGAGGGTTAAGAGTGTTTTATATGCGATCAAGTTAGATATCCTTTGCAACATCTGTGATTCTCGTTGTCCTCTTTATTTTATTTCCATCAAACACACCATTACCTTCAGCCTGAGGAAATAGTAAAATCTAACCATAAATGCATCTTTCGATGTTTCAGTTGTTCTCGTTCTACACCATTACAACAGTGTGTATGTGACAAATGTTTAGTCTGGTAGTGAAACAACAATTTTACCTTTTATAAACCCCAGCTCCTTATAAGGCATGCGTTACCGGTCGGTAAAGCTGATTATCACACTTTGCCGGCGCCTGTGGCACTGTAGCATTTCATCATTGTTATACAGGAAGGTTCCCTACGGCTCGAATACAGCTGGGGTTATAAATATACATGTATTTATTATCCTTGAGAAGCAAAGCACAGCTAATCCCACCCCCATTTATTTTGGTTGAGCAGTGAGTAAATGAGGTTGTGTCTTCACTCTATTTTAATTTATGCTAAATTATGTGAGCTGAGACTTGGTGCATCTCATTTATGAGGGAAATATGTCATCACTAATGTGGGTGGATGCATGTAGGAGTAGCATGTACTAGTTTACAACAAACTGCTTACCACTGTGCTCAGATGGATTTGGTGTTCATGCTGAGAATACAAAGAGGACGCAGAAGAAGAGTAGCCTGTTTTTGTTGGGGTTTATTTTCCACCTAGACGAAGTGAAAAGCCTAGGATGTTGCTGTGCAGGTTAATAATTCAGATGTTTTACAAGCCACATTGAATATTTAAATGATTTCATGAGAGGCTGTACTCCGAAAAACATGAAATAAATAAAACTTAAATCATTATATATTCTTTTAAAAGCCACTATTTACATTTCCATTTAAACACATCAAATTTGTGTACTCAATAAAATACCGACATATATAAATTGGTACAGATATATAATGCTTGCAATTTTGATGCTTCATATGATTCAGTAGAAATCTATTTCTTTAAAACTACTAGCAAAAGATTATTGAGTTAAATAGATGATATTTGGTTCCAGATGTGTTTTTGAAATAGAAAAAATGGAAACAAAAGAGAAAATGTCATGTTTTAAAGTTAAACTGGTGAAGACTGACAAAAATGTGCATTAACCCCAAAGCTGTTGGAGCATTAAAACAAACAATTCCTGTGTCTCCCTACGGACATCTCCCTAAGTTAATCATTGCATTTGGACGGAGCTGATTTGAGACAAAGACCTGTTTCTGTTGCAAAGCTCATGTGTGACTGTGTCTCATTGCTTTTCAATGGACTCTCTCATGGGGTGTCATTTGGGTTTAATTGGCTTAATTGTCCACACCTTTGAGTAAGAGGCATACCCAGAGAGGATTGCAGTTTTATCTCTCTCGGTGACTGCAGTTCATCATGCTTGTGCGTAGCTTCTCCCAAATGAATATATTTATTTTCATAAGTCTTCTGTTGCAGGATATATTTTCAGATTATCAAATAATGTCTTTAGTTTCTATCACTGTCAAGTACAGAACCTCCAGAGTTCTCCATGAACAAGTAAAGGTGCGAAAAGCAGCTGACGGGTCTCGTTGAGCCAAAAGGTTGTTTCTAATGCATCTGAGCTTTTATGGGTTCAAATCTTTTCTGTTTGTCTGGAGTCACACTGTTGTAACTCAAGTAACTGAATCTATGTACGAGAACAGATGACAGCCCCACTGTGTGATAATGATAGGCATTTATTTGCATCTGAAGCTGCTAACTGAGATGACGGAGAGATTTTAACGCCAGGTATGAATTGAATCAGCCAAGATAGAGAGCAGTTCCATCATGCCAGTCTTAACATTTTGATGCCAACTTCTGTGCGTGAGCAGAAATATCTTCTCTTTCTCTTTCCGTCGACAAACAGTCCCTCATTAACACGAGTGTTATCTTTACATCCCGTCAGTCTGTCAGAGTCTGAACTGCTTACTCCTGGCTTTTCTCTAGCTTAACACTGTGATACTCAAACAAACCCTGATGTCTGGACTTTAGTGATGTAAAGCTCAGACATCTGCTCCCTTTTCTCCTGGCTTCCAGCAGGAAACGGTCTCTCCGGTTACCTCATTATCCCAGCAATGTAACTGAACTCAAACACAGGATTTTGCAAAGGTGAGAATTATGAATTATGAATTATGAATGTGATTACCAACAAGAAGCAACTGCATTGTTGTGAATGAAGAATAATTAAGTCAGAAGTGTGATATGGAAAATCTCTGCCTTGCTCTGTCACTGTGTCAAATGTTGCTCGTTTCATCAGAGAACAAATGTGACAAACTCTTGGATTTCTTTTTTTTTTTCAATCATTCAAATAAGATGTGACTATCTCTCTCTAATTTATTTCTCTTTTTAATAAATAACCATGCCACTGCTGGAAAACCAAACTGTTTCTACAGAGTAAGAAACACATTTAATATCTATAATGTAAAATCAACTTTTATGAGATTTATCATCCTCATCAAAAACATACCTGGAGCGTTGCTTTTATTCTTTCATGCATTTTTGAAAAATCATTGAATCTCCCATGGCAACCCATCGGATGTGCATAAATACTCGCTCATACAAAGTGCCACTTATATACTCTTTACATGAAGGTATATAAGTTTCCAAGCGAGTCTATTAGCAAACACCTGGTGGAAATGCTCATCATAGAAACTACTTCTGTGTCCAATGCTCCAAACAATAATTGTAATTGTGAATGGACAATGTGGTGATGAAGGCAGAGGGTCTGAAAGAGCAGGAGCTTCTTAAAGTCATCAAATTACAAAAATGTGAACATATTTTTTTTTGTTTTATCTATATATTTAAACAAACAAGGAGGGACAAAGCAACATTTTGAGTAAGCATGTAAGTCAATATCTTACCCTCCTTTGTGTACATCAGCTGATGGAGGTCTTTTATTTGCAGTCCCATCCTGATGAACCTTCTTATCCAGAGACATTGATAGCGGAGCATCTCGAACAGCAAGGCCCAACACCAACGTCTCTTTGGTAACAGAGACAGCCTCATCACCAGCTCGACCCAGGTGCTTCTTGGCATAGTCAAAGCCCTGTACAGGCTAGCAAAAAAGAAAACGGCACAGAGGAGGTCACAGATCCACTTTCACTCAGAATTGTTATGTATTACATAAGCTCAATGGGTCAAAAGCAACAGCAGACATTGAAACCACCAGCTACAAAACAGAAAAGTGCATGCAAAAACTACATCAAGTCCAACAGTCAGTCCTGACAGCACATAGGTGTGTCATACTTACCAAATGGCAAATTACACCAAGTCAATGTAATTATCGAGCTAAACATAAAGGTTCAACAAATGATAATTGAATCTGCACACGTTCCACCATGACACATTGTTGACACAACAGAAGAGCAAATTGAAGCCAAAACTGGTTCAAACAAAACAGCAGTCCGCTGCCGGCTCAAATTACTCAGTAAAAAAGTTAAATTCAAACACAATACTTCCAAAACTGCTAAATAAAGCTTAAAACATCCAGATGACAAAAAAAATCTGTTAAGATTGCCTGTTCAGTTAAAGACATGAAGACATGAAGACAACTAATACTGTCTACTAAGTGGAAGAAAAATTAATACTCTGCTCACAATTCAAATGAAAGTAATTTGACAGGCATTCCTCCTTAAGCTATTTTTATCAGTCTCCAAACAGCAGAGCTTATATAACAAAAATTTAAGAAATAAATAATTTGGCAACGCCGCACCTTTGAAGTCAAGAGTTTGTTAGGAGGAGATAGAACATTAAAGAGACAGCAGAATATGTTTGTGACAACTATCCATAGTTGGAATAAATTATTTTTTGGATAAATGGCTTTCGTTTCCAGGAACACAAGAAAAAGAAAAGGTGAAAGAATGGATTTGGGTTTGGCAGCAACAAAGATAAAAACCCAATTTGTTTTTTGTTTTTTGTTGCTCCTCTTCTATTTTGAGCAGTTCCAACAAGAAGATGCTCAGTGCATGTGATGATGCATACTAAATTCTGAGAACATGTAAGGTTAGGAAGCAAGCTAATAATTCATTGGTCACACAAACACACCGCCATGCCTTCAGCTTGCTTCAAACACAAGCAAGCTGTGGATAGGACTCATGCATTTAAGTTCATAAACATGAAACAACTTCCAGACAGTCCTGTTTGCCCACTGTCATTAATTTGTCTATAGCTCCATGTTGTTCATCAGTTTAAGAGGAGATGGACTTACCCAACTATGTATGGAGTTAGGCAGATACCACTAGATTACAAGATTAACTTTAATATCTTGTTAGCCTACACGATTTTAAATGGGCTAAAATCAGTTTGTTGAAACAAATATTTCATTTCTGTGCTCCAGCCATGGCACTCAGGTCAACACTCTGTCGCTTCCTGATCCAAAGTTGATGTTGTAAAACTTAGTAGGTCTTAAGAAATGGTCAGATGGTGGATAGTTTCATAAACACCATCAACGATTCAACTCATTGAGATTCACTACAGTGTTTGTGTTTCAAATCAAATATGTATATTATAATTTTCAGTTGAAATTAAATGTTTATCTGTTCTTTTCACTGGGATATGAGATTTCATTGATTTTGTTTTGCTTAATTTATGCTGGGCAACTTGTTTTTTTTTATGTATTTAAAAAAATGAAGAAAGCAGCAGCCTGTGAAACAATAATATCAAAGTTCAACATTAACAAGAAAAGGAAAGCATTAATAAAAAGTCAGGTGAGAATGTAAGTGATAACTCTGAAGGCCAGTAGAAAGCCAACTCAATAATATGCAGCTGTACTAAGGGACGCCAGTCGGACATTTGGTAGATGTAAAGCTCAGGCCAGAGACAGGAAAGGGAAAGTAGCTGACGTGTTGCTGACCAATCTCCTCACAGATTGGTCAGGTCTTTGCAGAACTTGTTGACAAGCCAAGTAGGTAAATCAGCTTTTTGTCTTTTGCAGGTGTGTTGGAACTGGCATCCCAAAGTTGCAGGACAGTGGCACTCAAGGACTGCACTTAGAAAGCCCCTACTAGAAGATTGAGAAACTGTGTATAGATGCTAATGACAGCAACAGTGGCACTTAACTCCAAAATATTAGAGGCAAGGGTTTGCCATGTCACAATGCAGGACCCACAATGCAGGTCTTGCAATGATGCCTTTGAATCGTATAATAAAAAATAGTTTGAAGAACTGGATTCATTTTGTATGCATGTCACAAGTGACGCAGGGGGAAGGTTTAGGCTATAGACTGTGGACATGGTCAAAGAGGCTAGAGTGAGATGCTGAAGGAGCTTCTCCCTCAAGGGAAGAAAGGATTAAAGATTTGTGATTCAGCCAGTCACTGACGAGTAATAGCAGCTGTCCACGGAGACTGTAAAGGTTCTCAGAAAAGACAGGACCAAAGGATATAACCTTGAAAAGTGTAGCTGACATTTCAGGGATGGTATTTTACCTTCATAGCTCACAATTTATCATCATCTTTAAGGTCTTTTCGAACAGTCATATCATTCTATCCTAATTGTCTATTCTTCTTTTGCTTTAATTTTCATTTATTCCCCTCCCATTTCTCCTTCTATTGGTCTCTCTCTTCTTTTGCTCCCTGAATGTCGGTCCTTCATCTCCTCAGAGCAGGCCTGTTTAATAAAGACTTTGGCTGCAGACAGACATTGCGGCACAGTGTGAGCCTCTGCTCAGTCTGTCAAATATGAATGTTGTTTTTTTTTTGTTTTTTTTATTTGGGGGTTGGGGGGGGTTTCCACATCCATCTGGAGTACCAGCAGAAGATGAGAGCAAAAACGAAAACACAGGAACCTCAACATTTTCCATTTACTTAAAGATGTGTGAAGTGACAGTGAGCACAACCCCACTCCGCCAGCAAATTATCTGTCCTGTTAGAATCAAACAGACGCTTCTGCTCATCTAATTTTAGTTTATAGCATCAGCAGTCGGCAACTCGATGATGTAGAGCAGATGGACAAGATGTGCTGTCTTCTTCACAAGGGCCAGATTGATTTAAATTCAAGTCTTGCAGGGCAAGGAGCAAGACTGAACCAGAGTTTTGTACAAAAAGAGATCAGGTATATTTAAAAAGAGAGAAGAGAGTGCACATCTGCACCAACCCGCTGTGGTTAGATAAAACCCCCAGGGGCCCGCCGAAGAATGATGCAGCAAAATGCAAAACACCCTAGGTCCTTTAAACAGCAGCTGCTGCTTTGTACTTGCATTGGACACCTTACAAATGATAAATGGATTTCTTGTACTTTTTGCTGATTCCACATGCATTGTACTTTGAACACAAGCCGACTATCAGAGGCTTTCACACTCACACAAGGCAGCACTTAGGAAGGAAAAGTCATTTTGAACAATCTTCCAGCTGCGCAGCCAAGCAATGAAGTGACTCAGGCGTTGCAGAAAGACTGGCTAATGCCCATCTAAACATGCAAACATCATATAAACCACATTATTGATCAGCAGCTTCAGCTTGTCAAGCACAGTGACTGATCTTAAGGCAGATGGGAGCATGTTGCACACACACAATACACCTCACTCAAGGCAGATCAAACGAGTGGGAGTCTATTACTGTGCTCATATTTAGTTGGTGCTCAGACAGCTTTGAAAAATCACTTCGCTCCTTAATATCAACTCCTGTTAATATTCTCCTGGGGAAAATTTAAAAAAGATTAGCACACAATTTGGATCTGGACCAATTGAGGTTGTAAATTAATCGAGGCTGCCAGATGAGATCAGGTGGAACTGCACAGAATCAAGGTTCAGAAAAGTGTTATTTAACCATAAATCATGTTTTTTAAATATTATTATTATTTCACTATCAGTATTTTTATAGCCTAATTCCAAAACATATGAGTAAATCTATCAATTAAAATAAAAAGATTAGGATTAATTTTTAATTACCTGCATCTAAGTGTTACATATTACCCAATCTGTGCATAGCAAGAAGCTAAATTAATACTTAATACTGAGCTAAATAGGCTTTATGGACTTTTATAGAAACATCAGAAAAATATGAATGAAAACATGTAAGTATAAAAGGAACATGCAGTGCCTTGATAAGGCGTTTTTTTGCTTCTGAATTTTCCATGTTTCATACACAAAACGTAAGTAACAGAATAGTGGAAGGAAAATGGTGCATGCTTTTCAAAGTATTTTTAAAACACACTTTTGTTATTGTTTTTTATGTATTTCCATACGTCTCCTTCATCCTGAAAATCCTAAATCCTAAATGAAGTCCAGTGGAACAGCTAACCCTGGATTCATAAGTCTTCTAGATAGGAAACAGAATGCAACTGTGTGGAATTCAATCTTTCTTAAAAAACAAAATATATAGATGGATATAAGCGGCACATGGATGAGGAGCAACTTTCTATTTGGTTGGAGATTTAACCAAATATTAGTGAACATGTACAGCCAGTTTTTTGTTTGTTTAAACAACTCCTGTTGTATTTTTCACTTTGAAAAATTTCTAATGAATAATTAAAAGACAAATAACATTTTCCTTGCCACAATGATTGTGTAACTTATGACTGTGTAAGTGTAATCGTATATAAACCTACATTTTAATCTGCTTTTAGCCTCGGCCATATTGCCACAAGCAAACAAAGTCCTGTAGCTCATTTACTTTTAGATGCGACTTCCAGTAGAAGGGAAAAACTGTGACTGCAGCCTTCTGGCACCACTTTTACAGCCCCTTGTTTATTAATATTTGATGCAGTCAGTTGTGAAATCCAAAATAAGTAACATCAAATGTTTACAATAATATCGGTTACTTGAGCAAATAAACCTTGGAGCAATAGTATATTAATATATCACTTTAAGGAAAGGAAAAACACACACAGAAGCACACAAAACACAACATGTACTTCCATTTTCTGGGATGTTTACACCCCGCTGTGCTGTGGAGTTACAACAGCCCCATTACCCACCAACATGTCCCGCCTACCCATCCTCACATCCATCATTTCCCCGGCTCACTTTGCCTCTCAGAGGGATGGGGAGGAGAAGGTCTGGACCAAAATAGGACGCAAATACAGAAGCTGACATCCTCCAGTGGAGCAACAAAAGCCACGCTAATACCTTCTCTATGGATGCCATTTAAAGTGTTTTCTTTTTTTAACTGCTGGTCTTAGCCATTCAGTTTGAATCCATGCTAAGATTATTTAGCAGAAAGGCTCATATCAAAAGGTTTGACTGGATGACCAACCATCCCGGCTGAGCTGCTGAGGGACTGGAGCACCTCTGTTTGACAAGATAACTTGACTGATTTGAAAGAGAAACAGAGGTGCTGATCTACGACACAAGTACAAAAATAATCAACACTATTGTATGCTGAGCACATTTCTTTTATGGCTATTTCCCTATGTTAGAAATTCAGTGATTGCCAAAACAGTAAATATCTTAAAGGGAAATATTTAAGAAAAAAACAATACACAATTCCTCCCTCCTCCTATTGATCTTGCAGCAATGAGAACAGAAATATGTTACATCACAGCAGCTACATGCAGGTTTTGCCCAGCAACATCAACTGCCAGCACAGAAAGGAAAAGCCAGCCAATTCATTCGTTCATTGATTCATTCATTCACTAAATCAGTCAAACAATCCACCCGGGTGGTTGTTTTATTCAATACCTGGTGGTGGTAACTGCCTTCCCTTCGATATGACGTCTAAACAAGGAGAGAGTCAAAGGAACAAAGTCAGGAAGGGCTTTGTGAAAAACAACGCAAGTTTATGTGGGTAGCAGCAGTCTCTCACTGGAAGAGCTTTAAAGAAAACCCATATACGCAAAGAAAGAGAAAAATGAATACATTTAATTTTCTTGACTGCTTACACAGATTATTGAGAAAGCAATATTTCTAGTGGCCACTGCAGTAATTTTCTCATTTTGTATTTTTCAAAATTATAAAAAAATTTTTTTATTATTTTCCTCAATTAAAGTTTTCATTTACCAGAATGAATGCAGACGTCAAAATCCCATTTACAGTGCTTATGAAAAGTATTCACCCCATTGGATGTTTCACCATTTTATTGCTTTTGCAATTCAATAATAACAAATTGTTTATTTTATACAAACATTTCACAAAAAACTTTAATGTGAAAGCAAAAATGGATTTCTAAAAAAAAGCCAAATATAAAATAAGTGATAGTATAAATATTCCCCAGATGTCAACAGATGTTCATCCAGTTGACGATTGTAGCCTAACAATGAGTGAAATGGAGCTTAACTGAGTGTGGTGATTGTGTCTTAAGTGATCATAATTTTCTGGTTAATCAGTGCTCCTGGCTACCATGACAGAATGAAGACAAAATAACATTCTAAGCCAATTAGAGAAAAGGTTACTGAAAAGTACAAGTCAGTGGATCGAAACAAAAAAAAAATCTCTAAAGCACTGAGTGAATATTTCCAGGAGTTCAGTGAAAAACATAATCTAGAAATGGATAAAATATGACATGGATAAATCTGCCTCGATCAGACTGTCTTCACAAACTAGTGAGAGAACCCACCAGGATACATATGACTGCACTGATGGAGCTGCAAACTTCAGCAGATGAGATGGTAGAGATTCTGCAGACCACCATTTTTCCCCAAGTTCTTCACCAGTCAAAGTTTTTATGTGAGAGCGGCAATAAGAAAAGCACTGCTGAAGAAAACTCAGATCAAGGCTTGAGAAGATTTAGCCAAAAAGCATGTGGGGGACTCCATGTTCTACTGGAAGACAGTTCTTTGGTCTTTTTTGCAATCCGACAAGTCGCTATGTTTGGTGGACGTCAAACACTGCGGTATTTACATTCTACTGCCTCACTATTGGTTTTATGACAAAGAACAGAACAGCTGTAGCTCGCACTGCTAAAATGGTTTTACCAGCTCCTGAAACCGAAACGAGGTTCTTGAAGGGTTGCTTTTAGGCCCCTTTTTCAAAAGAGGGATATATACACATTTAATCTTGTGAGGGAAACAGCTATATGCACTGGCTTATTTTTTCCCATTAAAATAAATATCTTTATCAGTTTATGCGACTGAAACTTCAAACCACTTGTGATTAAGTGAAGTTATTTGGTGAAACAGCAACGTTGGACCTCTAATGGTGATAAGAAATGCCAACTCTGCTTTAGGATTGTTACATCGAAGCTAATTTAAGAGGCTTTTCAGAACAAATAAGGCTGGCAAGCTCATTGCTTGTTTACCACTTCACTGAACGCAATGGCACAAGCAGCTGCCGCTCTGGCGTCATGCACTGCATCCAGGCCGACCATCTGACCGAATCAAACCATCTGTTGGCAATCTATTACCAACACGCTCATTTAAAAGGATTGATTTGTCAGTTAAAACTCCAGTGAGCTGATGTTCAGTGAGCACTGTCTTTGTGGAAGAGCCGACATTACCCTGAGGTTTCCTTCCAGTGCAGTGAGCCCTGCCCATTTCTTTGCAGCCGATTGGGCTTTGCAGCATGCATGATTAGTAATGACCACGGGCTACCGGGTAGTGAGAAAACAAATGAGTGAGGCCGGCAGAAATGAAATTCATTTTTTTGTCCTGCAGTAACAGCTTGACACAGTCAGTTTTCTGTCGGCCATGTCACTCGCAACAAAGTTATGTAATCTTGTCAGAGCCTTACAGAAGATTAAATCCCTAAGATGTGTGTTTTGGGTTTCTCAAGATGACAGAAAAACAACTAATTTACAGCAATCACAGAGGGAAGGATGAACAAAAAGAAGAAGAGCTGCAAAATATATGGGTCAGTACAAATAAATGGGAAGAGTGAAACAAGTTACAGGATTTTACCTTGGAGCGGGTTTTGAAGGTCCTAAATGCACCAGATTTAAAAATGACTCTGTTTCTTTTACACAGGATGAAGGCCACCATTCCAATCACCACCATCAGTAAGAAAAGAGGCGTGAGAACGGCCATAATCCACAGGTTGCTGGGTGGTGTCTTCACCACAGCTGCACATGGGAAAAAAATAACGTTAACAGCAGTTTTAATCTGGAACAAAAAGTAAACAACAGATATTAGTGAGCTTGATGCAAAGAATGTATTAAATGCTGCTTTTTTCAGGTCCAACCAAGGCTCAATTTTAGGTTCACATCTTGTGCAGTGATTGTCTAACCAAACCTGATTAGTTCGACTGATGTTTTCATGCTTTGCTGACAACACTGTAAGCAAGTCGATGAAACTGTGAAGAAAACGTGGATTAGTTTTTTCATCTGACAAGGGAAGGCAATGAGAACTTGCAGTTTTGATGTCTGTATGTTCATTATAAAGACTAAAAAGAGTTCAATCTTTTGATATGTTTTAATACAGATATCTTGAAATTAAGTGAAGGACATGTGAAAATGTGTGAAATTAAACCTTTTTAACAATCTATCAATAATTTTCTTCAATCTAACAAATGAGTATTTCCCACTTGAATTTCTTTTCAACTGCTTACTTTTGGAGCTCTTCTGTGACAGAGCTGTTTGCAGATGTGTTTTCGTTGAAGGCATGAATATAATTGTCCTCCTCTTTACCCATCAGGAGGCAGAGAGAAAGTGTTTACAAAGAACACTGTGATCTCTTCTCAGCATCAATACTTTGGGAAGCGCTTAAAAATCCAATATTTTTTTCGGTGAGTTAAGTGTAATGAGGTTTCTGAGACGATACAAGTTACAATATACAGAATACTCTGCTCTCTTGAGTTGCAATGACCTAAAAAGCCACCAAAAACATGCATGAATATGTTTGCATACAAATCTGAAGTTCTTCCAACCTAACCAAAATCAATTTGTGCAACGTCGCCAAGCTATGTTGCTGAACAAGTTGCAATGTCATATGCACATTAAGATAATGGCAGACAGAGATGGTAGCATTTTGTCTTTTTACAAAATGCCATTGAAACTAGAGGCCGATGTGCAATGGTGGGCCTGGTATGTAATGGAGGCAGACATGGAAAGGAAGCAAAGCGCTTGGAAACATCAGAAAATGCTAACATTAGTTATGCTTTTTACTGTTTCTAAATATTGTGTTTATACTATTTTTTACATTTGTACTACCAACCCACCAGGGAATAGCCTGTTTGAATAAATTTTTCATATTATCACTTAAGCAGTGATTTTCAATACTGTGTATAGTCTTTTAAAAAAAAAAATGTGTTGTTCATAAACCAACCATCTCTCTGTTCTGACTGAATGACCTTTGAGTGTATGGCTATATTCCCACAGCAGGTCTTGATTGATCAATTTAGATTTTTTTTGCTGAAATCAGCTTTTTTTTTTGTCATGCTACTAATGAACTAAAATCGTAACCAGAAGTGGGTGTGAACTGTTTACGTCCCCAAAGCGACCCGCATGTGCAGAAGCAGAATGTAAATATCACACAGCAGTCATGGAAGTAGTAATGGATGCTTGCTTTGACTCTCATATATTTAAATAGATATAAAAGACTTGCAATGCAACAATGACCGTATAAACACGAGCTTACGTTCGGCCTGCACTTGCACAAAGTATCCCAGTGTCAGAGCCATGGTCTGGGAATCCAGGCTGCTGAGGGTCTTTGCAGCTGCAGATCCTGTGATGGGGGATCCATTCAGCTGAGCATAGTAGGTCATCTCTGCCGGGTTCTTTGGACCTGGAAGCCGTCGCATGCTCACCATCTGGGAGTGGAGAGACACAGTTGCATCACAGTTTTAAATAGTTTTTTTTTTTAAAGAGCTTTGAGCCTTATTAACCATCAAGAAAACATATAATCTGTAGGCAAGTTTTCCATAAAATCCCTTATCTTTTCAAACCAACAGACTGCCTCGTCTGTGGCTCAATTTCTTCTGCTTTGATCAAGTCGAACATCGGCTGGGAGATGAATGGATTTATTGAAGACTCTCAAGGATAAATGAGTCACATAAAATCTCAATTTTCTTTCATCATACATCAAACAGATTTTTTTTAAAACATAACACAGCTTTAATCAAGTCTAGCAATTTGATTCTGTCATTAAAAAAACGTTATTAAATAGCTTGAGGTTTACTCCTCTGACTACACCCAGCACGTTCTGACAGTTCTGAGAAGCTCCTCCTCCTCCACTCAGCAGCCATAAAACTGCTCAGCTGTGAAGACCATGAAACCCTTGAGGGTTTGTAATGCACGCGGGTCACTAGGAATAAAACAGCATCGTAATTTGAACAATCCGGAGCAGCAAGTGGGGAGGTGGCACAAAAGAAAATATTTCTCACCAAATATTTCTCTGCTCATTTTTCTTTCATGTTTAAATTGAATCATTCCAACATCTTCCTTCCACAATTAAGTTACAGTTTTGAGCTGTAGAGTTAATTAATCCAAAAATAAATTACGTACAAAACAGTATTCATTAAAAGTAGTTGTGGTTAGATTTGACCATAAAAACATTTGCCTGTAGCCTCAGTTCTACAAATATATAACTGCCCTCTATTTTTGACAGGTTTCCTTACAGCTGTCCCCGCGGAGCGCTGTCCAGGTTTCTAAATCTGGAGCTGTCTGTGGTAGTGCACGCATTCAAACCTTTTCATGAGAGACTGAGAAAAAGTTTAGGTCTGACGTGAAAGTTTTAGGAAAAAATATCACATTTACATAATGTCTGAAAAGCAGCTTTGAAATGATTTACTTTATTAGGAGAAAAACGCAAACCACCCTTTTTAAATCAAACTGAACTGCTTGAATGCATGCAATTCACATACCAGAAATTGCAAGAAGTTATAATACTATTTGCCAAGAAACTTGAGACAAATGTTTACCATTATACTTCACAGAAGAGTATAAGTTAGGGAACATCCATAGGTGTCAATAGTTGGGCTATAATACCATCCAAATTCCCACTATTACACCTAACTGTAAATGTAGGACTTCTCTCAAATTTGGATAGATATCAAAAACCCTGTGAAGAGGCGAAGATGTTATAAAGATCTGAACAAAAACACAGAACATGTTTACAACATCCTTACTCCAGTCTTTACTTGTTGGTGTTGCCATCTTGACATCGTATTTCTACAAAAAGAATGATCGATCTCTACTGACCTGCACGGTGTAGCCGCCCACAGACGTGGCCCGCCGGGACCTCATGGACCGAGAGCCCTGCCTGCCAGCAACGAGGAAAAGCTCAGCCAGCCGCTGCTCCATAAGACTGGCGAAGCTCTGGTAGTTGGCCTCCAGGGAGGAACTGTCCACATCCTGGATCACTGAGCAAGGAGACAAGAAATGACAGACAGATTTAGAGGGGTGGGGAGAGAGGCGTTCAGGTGGACAAAAAGGGAAAAAGAAAAAAAAAATGGGTGAGTAAAGGATTGGGAGTAGAAAATATAAAGAAAAGCAAAGTAGGAGAAAATGAGCAAAAAAAAAACAACAGTTTGAAGAAAGACAAAAAGTCAGAGAAGTTAGACAATGGTATGACAATAGAGATGACAGATGATCTTCCTCCTGAGAGCTGCTCTTACATCGGGCCATAAGTGAGATGGATCAGTGGACAGACATCACACACACACACACACACACACACACACACACACACACACACACACACCACACACACACACACACACACACACACACTCATTCTCACACAGCAGCATCATTCACAACCGTCCCTGATGTGATATGAAGTGATCTCTCCCCCTGCCCCAGTCAGGAAACAGTGAATTATGCATCAATGGGCTTTTCCGCAGCTAAAGTGACTCAGAACTGAGAGAAGAAGAAGAATAGATGGATGGAGGAGGATTGCTAAACATGCAAAGAAACCCACAGAGCTGTATGAAAAAGGCATTTTGGTAACTTATGGATTATCTAATCAGTGCGACGCTTGGTTTTGCAGAATCTGAGAGCATGTTCAGGAGCAAATTACCTGTGATCACCCAGTAGCTCCTGGTTGCTGTGGATGTGTTGAGATTGTGGTACTCAAGAGCTGGAGACAGACAAAGAGACAGACACAGAGGCGTCTCATTTACTTTTGAACACCCAGGAAACTAACTTTACTTCAATCAGCTAGTTTTTATATTTTGTTTTTAAGGTTTTGGAAAAATTTTAAGATTTACAAGTTTTGTATAATTTATTGGAAATGGACACGCTGTTTAAATTTAATATTACACATTTTTATAGAGTTTCACAAATTCAAAATAAACTTAATATAGATGTCATTTATTTAAAAAGTATCAATGAGCATTTTTTATCTAGCAAAATAAAATATACACACTGAAATTATATGAAGCTTCTGTTCATACAACCACAACCTTTGCCTTAATAGACATTGTATGTTTACTAAATAACATTGGGGCTTCTTGAACTGACATTAAATTTATACCAGAAGTTGGTAACAACCAAAGTAATACAGACATGCAAAACCATCAAAACCAATTAGTACATAGTACAGATGCTATGAAGTGAAATGTTAAAGGGAATTAATAGTGAATACATAAACAACAGTATGCAAAAAGACTTAGAAAGCCAAAGAATCAGTGAAGTTATTTGTGAAAATGTGGACAAGACTGGCAAAACGTCAGTCCATTTGTCCTATCAAAACAGTAAATAAAAGAGCTGGCATGTATAAACACTTGCAGTTCTTCAATATCCAAAGCTGTCACTAAAATAAATGGCCAGCTCAGACAAGAACTGGTGCAATTTATCTCGCTTTATTGCCACCAAATAACTCTGCAGATAAGAATCAGTGTACAAGTACTCAGACACTGGGGGAGCATCCTTCATTCTCAAATGAAAGGGAGGAATGTTTGACTGTGAGAGTTTTCATTATGTTCAATAAAATATCTCAGAACTAAAAAAAAAGGAATTTGGTCCCTGTATTGTGAGGAGTATTCACAATATAGGTCCCCGGCCGTATTTGGAGTCCAGCACATGATTATTTGTTTCAGGTATTATAACCTGAGACAGTCAATTGAAAACATAAGTAATTGTATACGGCTTAATACAAGAAAAACAACTATGCAAAAAAAAAGCAATCAACTCCTGTAGAATACATTATTTCTCACTATTTCCCATGCAAATTGGATTTTAAAAGCTGCAGTAAAAATATGCTACAATTACCATACGGGCAAAAGGCCTTTGAAGTCACGCAAAGAAAATGCAACATTGGTAAATTTGTGTGAAGCAGCACTGTAATAAACACCAACATGCTCCACATTTTATTCTGTCAGCCTGTTTTAAGAAATACCTGCTTCTCCTTATAACTTCTTATGTCTCTACACACACACACACACACACACACACACACACACACACACACCCGCACACCCCTACACACACACACCACAACACCCTCTGTCTCTCGATTTCAATCTCATCTGCCAACATCATTTCCACCTCACACAACCTGTCGCCAGCTTACCATGAGACCAAGTCAAAGCTACAGCAAGCAAACTGTATCTTTAACCAGCGTTTATTTCTGCTCTAAGCCATTGTCCAGAGACAAATAAGAAAAATGAGAGCACAATTACATTCACCGCTCTCTCCTTTTAACTTACATGAGCTCATAAAAACACTGGAGACAAACAGCACTGGAGTGTGAAGGTTTGGATCCCTCCATCTGAGTTCTTCAGAGAATCTGTGCAATGCCCAGATGAATCCGCCACATTTAATTTTATCAACGTGGTTGTTGGAAATTTAATTGCAATATGCAAAAAGGAAGAGGATGAGAAATGTAGAGCAGTAGAAAATGTTCGGCTGAGGTTTAACACACGTAAAAAACACAAACAGGAGATAAGGTATGAAGGGCATTAGATTTCTTTTTAATGGAAGCTTTAGATAAATATGAGAAAATCACAGCTTCCTGTTACTTCCCTTTAAACACTAAGCATCTGTTGAAAACTGGACTCTGTTAGGCGACGTGTTTGGTCTGAATTTAATCTCAAAAACGTATCAATCAGACGTAACTAGGTCAACACACCAACCCACTCAAAGAAGTGTTTCCTTGTGAGCAGAATAAGAGGTGGGTTACGCTTTTTCACAAATAAATATCTGAATAGTGTGGTGTGCATATGCACTCAGTCACATTTGATTTGATTCTCTTTAATAAACTACAGCAAAAACCGAGCAAATTAGCTGCCAGTGTTTATCTGTGTGATCTCAGTATGAATACAGCTGTGAAGACCTCAGAGTATTGTTGATGTAAATTAGGGAACAAAGAGCATCATGAAGACCACAGAGCACAGCAACGGGAGAATGCTGGAATAACTTTAAGCTTCAAGTTATTAAAAAATGTCAAAAGCTTTGGATGCTCCCGAAATAGAAGAAGAAAAAAAGAATCCAACTTTATTTAAATGTATTGTGGAACATCAGAAGAAACAAAACATTGTAATGTAATTTGTCTTTCTATCAACCTGTCTTGTTTAGGAAAGTACTGTACTCTTATAAGAGAGAGAGAAACACAGATGTAGACTTCCTACAAGTGGATATGCCAGACTATCTGAAAGCTAATTAACTTTATGCAGTACAGCTCCCTTTGGAAAATTAACCAATGACGCATGCCTGCCAGGACAGAACAAGGAAAACAACCTGCAGTGTTTTGTCTTCGTAATTATGCAGGGCAAAGTTAAAAATGTATTAAAATGTACAGGCAAATGAGAAACTGCACTTAAATGACTTCTTGAGTTCATTCTGGGACAATGAACTCGGTACAGAATCATTGAAATAGGGTTGTGGTGTAAAGAAATACTCTCAGCATGCAAAAGGACTCATCCTTCACATAAATGATTACATATTTATGCTTTAAAAGTAAATACCATCCAAAGCACACCTGGGATATCAGCTGCTGTCACTGCTGTGATCATTCACTGCCATTTTTTCGGTCAGTCATGCAATAAGCTACCATACATTGCTTGTTTTTTGTTTCACTACTCGAAACATTCAGCTATTTTTAGGAGAACAGGAAGCCTTTCTGTGGCGATGCTAAGTGGATTTGGATGTGACCAAGTAAAGTGTGATGTTTGAGCCCTTTGGGTGTTGAGAGCACACACCAACAGATACGAATCTAATCTCACTCTGCTAAAATTAGCTCATCTGGGGAACACGAACAACAGATTGCCCAAGGCAGGCTTGGGATGATAGGAGCTCTGCAGCTGTTTGCCCTTTTAAAAAAATCTCACAGATGGCATCAGAAGGAGGGATGGACTATAAACAAAAATCATTTGGCCCAATTATGGAGTGTGGGATCATTTACTTTGGGCAGCTGGGATCAAATGAAACACACACAACATTTATGAAAAGGGTAGGACTAACTTAACTCAATTTTTGCCTTAAAAAAAAAAGAAGCACACATCGATTTTGCAAAACTTTACAAAATGACTAAATTACTCCTCTTATCCTCCATTCGTTCTTTGAAAACTAAAATTAGGATCTTGCCCTGATAATAAGCATATCATAACCCTCCATGCTTTCCAAACCTCAAAGAAGCACCTATCTTTCCCTTTTCCCCTTAGAGGAGTAAATCTATAATGAGTTGAAGATCACACACTCATTTGACACATCAAACAGCGTTTTAGCTTTGATGCTATAGTCTCTCTTGTCCCATGTGTTTGTATGCTTGTGGTGCCGACTGCTGTAGAACAGATCAGACACTGAGGAAAAAAATTAGTTGCTACTCTTCAATTTGAATACCACAAGATCTTCATAACTGACTGAAATCATGGATTAGTAAGGAATAGTGGTTAGGTTTTATTTAAAGCCACTGACTGCTAATACATTTGAGTCCAATGACAAATGAAACATTTTAGATGCCTTCTATACTTACTCAATTTTACGTAATCTTCTCGCTTGGGCAGCAGGTTGAACATGTGAGAAATCATGATTTTTGCATTGCCTTTCAGTTGAGTATTTGGTCCTGAATAGTCAGTAGTCTTGAGGGGACCAAACAAATATTATTTCAGTCTTTCTTAGCCAGAAGTACCAGCAGCAGCACAAGTGGACCAAAGGAAAATAAATGTTACATAGTCTATTAATATATTAGGATGGACCCTGAATTCTTGTTTAGTTTCTCCAGAAGATAAGCAAACAGCTGTATCTTTTTTATATTATTGTTAACAGCCCATAACCAAATGGATTTACTGACTCAGCTTTCTGCTAAACATTCTTCTTATTTCAATAACGATGTCCTGGTCTCCAAACGGTCCTTCTCCTCATAATCCTTTCAAAACTCACATACGACTCCAGTGGTGAAACTTCTTTACAGATTCCATGCTGTGCTCACTATATTCTTTATTCTTACTGCTGCTGAAATTAAGGGGAAAAAAAACACCATGAAGTATAAATGTAGGCTCAGAGTTAAAACTTTTTCGTACTCTCCAGCCTGATGGTAAAATTGAGTTAGGTCAAGATTTTCTTGGTCAGTAAGTGCAATTTATTTATGCTTTTCCCTTAACACATATTGTAAAAAAAAAAAAAAAAACTGAAATCTGGCAAGTACTTCAGCATTTATTCTCTTTTCAGTAATGCAAGTGTAAAGAGAGGACATATTCATATTTTTATTATGCAAATATGCACTGGCAATCAAAATAACCTTGAATGTTATTTCTTGAATGAAAAGTTCATGTTTACCAAAATATGCCACAATAACAAAAATGTCATGTCAATATGATGTGAAATCTAAATCATGTTTCTGTGATGTTCTGAAACCTTTTTGGAATGATTCTGTAGCTGTACAAATTTTGTTTTACTTTTGCATGACAAAATTAAAATTCCACTTACAGACATATGTGAATGAATACAAAGAAACTACAGTTATCTGTTTTTCTAGCAGGATGCTTTCTTGCAGAATTGTAATGACAGGAAGAATAAAGTGGATTAGACATCATTGGCTATGTTTACATCCAGATATAACTGTAATTTAAAAAATGATTATATAAAAATATAGTTACTCAAGAAATCAGTTAAATGAAACCAGCCTGTCAACATGAAGTAGGATCTAAAGATCTAAAGAAACTCAAGGACTGACAAAAAAAAACATAGTCTGTTCTTTCAGTCTGGAAAAGACGTGACTGACTAGATTTAATTCAAATTCAATTTGATTCAGAAACACTTTAATTAAACTGATGAATAGATGCAATAGATGGAACCTTGGATAAATAATTTTAAGCAACAATGACTTCAGCAGCCAAGCAGATGCACACTTAATATTTTTAAATGAAATTTGGTGGTGAGCTTGGCCTGTAGACGCTGTGGTTGCTCAAAGACATGTAAAATTAGATAACAAGGATACCATATAAAAGTACTCTGATTTGAGTTTATGATTAAAAAATTTAGGAGCAATTATTTCCATTGAGAAAAGATCCATCCTTAATTTAATTTATTACATTTAGTCCAAAACCTTTAGAATTAATACTCTGAGATTTTTGTCTAGACTTAAGAAACTCTTCAAAGAAACTGTGAATATTTAAACAAGACATGAATGACCCTCAAATACAGTGAGAGAGGGGAAAACTTTAATTTCATAATACAGTAAAGTTTCTCTCTCTTTTATTTTTTTTTTTTTACAATTTTCAAGGTTTTAATCTCTTCCTGTAATGGGAGCATGTAGAAATTAGTGTAGTTTGTGGTAAATCTCAGTGTAAGAATCCATATTGACCAGGAAATCAAGCAACACTAACTGTGTTTATTGCTGCTATAAAATGTTAAATGCAATTTAATATGTAAACTTGTTTTGTTTTTTTTAAATAATAAAAGTCTGTTTTGGAGCAAATACTTTTTCCGTATAGTCCCTTTTGCTCATAAACAATTTATAGCAGCTCAAGGCAGAAAACAATCATAGGCCAGAATTGCACAAAAACTAACAATCAGGATTCGTCAATAAAATTCGGTGCTTCTCTGGTTTCCAATGATTCATTTTCAGTTGTTTCCTTCACAATCCAGGAAACAAGCAATCAATGCAGTGAAACAAATGTACAGCCAAATTAATATCCCGCTAAGAGAAAACGAAGCTGCACTTACGCTCAGCTATCACCAGTGGAGGATAGAACAAGAAGTATCCCACTAGCTCTGCAGTCAGCTGGTTGAGGAGCCCACTGGATATTGTCCCATTAAGAACTGCATCCTGGTTTTTCACCACATACACCAGCGTAACCGAGGGTGAGCCAGACTCCTGAGACACACTCTGGATCTGCAGACAGACACACCACCTTGGATTAAATATGCTGTTCTCTGCTGCATATAAGAACATTCAGAAAGATTTCAGATTTTTTTCCAGCAAAGACAAATACAAAGGCAACATTTATAATTTAAGCCTTCGCACGAAAATATCTGGAGCTATCATGCCAAATGTCGAAGACGGGAATAAAGAATGCATACCAGGCCTTCAATGAACAAGGTTTTATTCTCTCCATAATAAGACCTGTGTGGTTTCTCCAACATTCATGTAACAGAATCACAACGGCGAAGTGGACGACGATACAAGATACAGAGAATTCCCATCACATTTTTCTGCACGCATTAATATTTCAGGGGATAAATAATGAATGGAGCCTATATCTCCATTTGCTTGTTGAGACCTACTTTATGATTTTGACGGTGTTTGCATGTGCAGTGTATATTCTGCAAACAGATGAAGACTTTGGCAGAGAAATATGTATGATTTATGTATGAAGACTAGATTTATTACAGTTTGCTGTTTCCAAAAATAGAAACATTACTCAGAAGCTACCCCCTTCAGTCAAGTGCAGAGTGTTACTATAACTGTCTTATTTTTGGTAGTTTTTGCTTCAAGAAGCCATCTGGCCACAGTAAAAAACTTGTGGCCAGCACTGTCGAAGCAAAAACAAGAATAAGTGTGCGAGCGACTTGGAAATCCACCTGGAGCTGCATTATAAATGTTAGTCTGATTAGCATGCTGCATGCAGACAGGACGCATTTGGCTGTCTGCCTTATAAATAGTCTCGGTGCACTCGTCCCGTACCTCCACTGTGAGTCTGTTGTAGGTCTCCAACACTTTATCCTGAGCCTCTTCAAAGGCATTCTCAAGCCGCTGCTCCAGCATCTGGACAAAACTGCACGAGTAGATGTTGTCTGCAGGTCCAACAAATCTTAACACTGCAAACCAGAGCAAAGCAGGGATTATTTATCTTCCATCTGAGTAATAAGAGAATAACAGACTGCTTTATATGGATCTCATTCTGGTTTTCTTCTAAAACGGTGTTCCATGTATGAAGGAAGAGTGTCTTAATCTTGACTGACTTTTAAGTAGAGCTGCACAGATTTGCAGTCATCAACACCACATCAATGTGGGCATAATCTGAATATCTAAGAACTCTTTGTATGGCGAACTAGGTAGGTTTTAATGTATTTTAAGGGACATTCATGAACAATAAAAATGTAAATTATGGATTTGTCCAGTTAGTCAGTTTTGGAAGTTGACAAAATATTTAAGCTCGCAAAGTGCTGTTAGGAAATAACATATCACAATTATTTATTTTCCTATTATTGTGAAGTAGTTCTTGAGTTGAGTCTTGAGTCTTTATTCGTAACAGCGGTGACAAAGTCTTATCTGGACCAGTGACACATTTTATTGTGGAAACTGTGATGTATACTGCAATAAAACCTCCCAGCGTATTAACATGCTGTTGCATATGAAGCAGGGAATTGAAGCACAAGCAAAAATCAATCTCTCAGTTGTTCGGCTCATTAACCGTAGATACGTTTGCCAATTTACCCGCCGCAGTACAATTTGCATAAGATTACCAACTGGGTCAGCAGGGTTTGTGCCTGCAGAGCGTTTTAGACTGAGACCAGTGAAGGATGTTGGGACTTTGAAGGAAGACTGCACTCATCAGCAACACACTGTTTAAATTTAGGTCAGAACACGACTCCACGTTCAGCACTGCAGCCCTGTTTAGACTTAATTCTCAAAACAAAGGATAATAAAGATTGAATGGAGCAAGAAAATAGAGTCCATAATCTGCTGATGGACTCAATATTGTTTACTCGGAGCTGCACCTCCCCGCTTCTGATGGAGAGCCGCTTGCTTTCTCTGGTTTCGGTTTAGATGGAGGTGATAATCCTCTTCGTTTCCCTTGCTACTCAGGTTTATCGGTCACACAGACATTCCTCCAGAGAACCGCTTTCATTAATACTAACAGCAGAGCCAAACATACAGATTCCAAATACAGCATGATGGATTGGGTATCTTATCCACGTTGCTTTTATATTTAGGTCTAACCTCAGGTAGTGTTTGTTTTTTTGTTGCTGAAGATGCATATACCTTCTGTCTAATGTTATTTTTTTCTCCTGCTGTTTGCTTCCACTATTTTAACTTTGGATTCATCCTTTCTTTCAAATTAAGTTCATTATTTACATCATGCTACTCACTTCTTGCATTTGGGTAGACCATAATCAATTTTTCTGCACAGCTATTTGGCACTTTCTACTCCAAATGATTTTTAAAAAAGGCTTGATACTTCAAAGTTAGAATAAAGTACACATTTGATCACAAGCATAAACATCAGCATATTATATTAGGATTTTATATTATAGACCAACACAAAGTTGTTCATAACAGTGAGGCAGAAGGTGACCAGTCCACTTCTGTGTAATTTATTCTCTGTAAAACCTGGAAACCACAGTTTTCAGCTTATATATATATATATATATATATATATATATATATATATATATATATATATATATATATATATATATATATATTATATATATATATATATATATATATATATATATATATATATATATATATATATATATATATATATATATATATATATATATATATATACAGTCCATTGTAATCTATGGACTGTGTGTTGTGGCAATCAGCATTGATTGGTGCATATATATATATATATATATATATATATATATATATATATATATATATATATATATATATATATATATATATATGCACCAATCAATGCTGATTGCCACAACACACAGTCCATAGATTACAATCTACACAGACAAAATAAATGGAAATGCAACAAATTTAGCACAGATTAAAAGTAAAATTATTCTTTCTTATTGATTTGATCAAATCTGAAGCAACATTGATTTAAAATTATGGATTCATGTTGAGAAATACCATACTATTCTCAAAATGTATCATCTGATATACAGTCTCTTAACTGTACTGAATTTCTGACCTTGATCACACCAAACTGTGTGTGTGTATGGGTGTGTGTGCTGAACTGTGTTTTGAGGCTTAAGAGCTGACTAAGTGATTGGACCAATTTGTTCTGCAATCATGGGGGTCTGTATAGGACTTAAGGTATCAAAGAGGAGTAAAGGAGAGCTAATCAAAATCTTTCTAATTTTGTCTCGGTTCTGTTCTTCCTGGAATCAATTTAATCCTCCACTCCTGCAGCTTTTCGTCTTTTTACAATCAAGTTTCTGGAACAAGAAGCTGGTCTTGCTGGATTGTAGGGTCACGCATTTCAGTGTTCACCTTAGGTATTCTCACCTGTTTTGAGCTGTAGGTGAATGTGGGGAGCGCTGATCCAGGTCGCCACAGGAACCAGAACAGCCTTGACCAGCGGGGTGTGCTGCCTAATGTCAGACAGCAGTTTGTCAAAGCCGTAAACATTGAGAGCTTCGACAACCATGGAGGAAACGTATACGGTTTTCCCACTGGTCACGTAGTAACCCAGAGTCAGGTTGTTTGGGCTGCAGTCGTCTCGCTCCACCTGTGGCGGAGACATATTTTCAACAATAAACAAGACACTATATTTGATTTAGATTTGAAGGCACAAACGTCAGTATATGAATATTTATAATTCTTGCTTTCATTTCAGTTTCGCTCTGCCTTAAGACCAAATTTCAGCTCGATTCTTCAACAGTTAGACTTTTGGCCATATTCTGGAAAAACACACACACACACACAGACGACAACTGTGGTGAGTCAAAGGTTGTATTTCTGGAACTTAACACCACCCACCTTCATGTACCCTCAACCTTCAACCACACTGAATAGCTGAGGTTGTTGTTGTTATGGATTTTTTCCTCTCTATCTTTCTCTCTCCACAACCATCTTTTCCTCTCCTCTTTCTCTCCCTGAGTGTGTGCTGGCTGCTACTGGCTGATCTTGTTATCTAAAACAGACATCTTCTCTGAATGAAACTGTATCCCAGCACCTCTCCTGATGCAGAGACCAAGTAAAGGCTTCAGCCTCATTTTTTTCCAAGCAACTCTTTAAATATTTTTCAATTATGCTCAGTCACTCAGTCTTATATCCATAAAGCCACCTTTGGGTTTTGCATTTCATCAGAAAACACAAAAAAGAGCAGTTGGATCTTGCATTTGAAGTCTAAACTAAAATGTAATGAGCATAAAATTAAATATTGACTGTTTCTTTCATGTGTTTTATTTTTGTCTGTGGCAATTTTTGTGTTAATCTCCTTATGTTTTTTCTAAACTGACAACTCTAAGCAAACACAGTGAAGAAAAAACTGTGTTCTGATTCACCAAAAACTGAATCAGTCAACCTTGATGTCTGATCCTAATTAACATTTTTTTATTGTACCAATGCTGCTGAGCTCTTGAGGCTTTTGACATTTTTAGATTTTATCAAAAATATGTTGACTTTTTCATTCCTATTTCTACAATTTATGTTTTTTAAATGTTTTTCCCAGTTTTTTTTTAGAGTTAGTATGTTTATGTATAAACTACATGAGTCCTTATCTTTGTTCCTTACCCTCCACAATATTTTTTTCTTATTTGTCTTTTTTATCCCTTTTTTATCTTGTTTACACTTTAGCATTTATCAAGCTGTCCATATCTATCAACCACAAAACTTAGAGAGTGTTTATAAAGTCTGCCTTTCATGTGAAATGATATCCTCAAAACTTGAACTTGGTTTTGATAATGGCATGGTGTCACTGATACTTTAAATTATTGGCATTAGTGACATTAAAAACAGCTTTTCATGCTTATGTAGCATGAAATAGGAAAGAAATATTTAAAAGATCAGTAAAAATGACTTAATGTTTCTCTTCTTTATATCCATTCTAAGTTATGTAATGAACCACTTGCTAATTAAATGGAGACCACCAGTGCTAAAACTACACATACTAGACAACAATACTAAAATGTTAATTCATTTTGAATTTCTAAACTCCACCTTAAAGCTGATTGCATTTCTGCAGAGGACTGCTGAATTTAACAAAGGGAGCCAGAACTGACCTCCTTTGCTCCCTGCCAACAGCTGTCAGCTGTAAAACTGCCCAGTTTGGTAAGTAATTATGGTTAACAACATTGTTCAATGATGCAACACATTAAGCATCGCTGCATGCTAATTTCATGCTGTTTAACAAACCCGAACCACGTAGGGGGCAGATTTTGCTCATCAACAGTGGAACAGTATCGAGGCTGTTTAGGATCTGAACTGTTTCTATTTCCTGGTTGGTGTTTTTCGCCCTGGACAGATTAATTTTGACTATCAAACCGCAGTCTAGGTTTTTAGATGGAGAAGATGAAAGCTGAGGAATGTGTCAGTGTGTAGCAGGGGGTAGATGAAAGTGCCATGGAGCTTAGAGATACTGAGTCACTCCCCGCGAAGGCTCACAAACAACTGGATAAAAATAGCAAAAGCAGGCGGATGAAGACAGAAGACGGACAGAAAGTGAGATGAAGAGAGGCAGGTGGACAGAGAGAGGCGGACAGCCACAATGAGCCGACTAGTACAACAGGCAAGACAGACATGTTGGCAGAAAATCGATCTAGTTGGACCAAGGGTGTAATCTCATCAGAAAGATGAAGGGGGAGAGCAATATGAGAGTTGTAAGTATTGAAATATACATGAAAGGAAAAAGCTGGTAGTGATGGTTTGAGAGGGAGGGAAGAAAAGATGGAGATGGAGCCGTGTGGTTGACACAGGATGAAAACAAGCGTTACGTAAGAGTGGGAGTGGGACGTGAGAATGATCTCCCTAAATGAACTCGATATCGCCTAATAAATCATACCACATATTCATTTGTCACCTCCCTCTATATTTATCTCCTGCAACATTCATGAGTCCTTGTCCGGTAAAAAAGAAAATCAACACCAACAACTTAAATATAGAAGACATGAGTACCCAGTACAGACAGACCAGCGAAATTGTTTAAAATAAAACAATTTTTTATTTTTATTTTTTATCTCAGTAGGATTAAACGGAAGCACTTTCTCTGACTAAGCACAGCAGCAGAGAAATGTTACAGGAGACGATAAAGAAAAAAACCTCATACACGCAAAATTTTAAGTTAGAACTGAAAGGCAAAACTAAGCCCATCTTTACGCTCCTTGAATCATCAAATGCTGTCCTATCCTAGCAGCTGTTCTTCGTTGGATTTTCAATGTATGTAAAAAAAATTTTAAAAACTTTTACAGGAGTTCTGGATGCTACAGTAAGAAGCTGTAGTGGACATTTCACTGTGGACTACACATTGCACTCAGAGCTTCACAAGCTGATAGCGGAGAGCTGAAAAATATGTAAAAAGATGACAAAAAATATTTCTCTTATGACATAACTAGTTCATTCTCCAGTCACTGAGAATGACTGGAGAATTTTTATTGATGGGAGAAGGCTTATGGATGAGGTCCGATCAACACAAAGGTTATTTCTCACCAAGTTTAATCATTTAAAACTGTTTTACACTTTGGTTTTCCAGTACTATTTATAGGAAATACATATTACTGAAAAATAATTTTTCTATTCCCTCCAGTGATCCCTGTCATTTAGATAATAAATGACCAAGGGTGCAACAGTGTATGTGCTCGCGAGTTAACAACCTGCATTTCCATTTGCAAAGTTTGTTAGCTTCTGCTATGTTTTTATTTGACATTTCGCTCAGTTATACTAAGATTCAAAACACACAAAAGACGTTTCCGTCCTCTAGCAAATATTCTCTTTTTTGTGTTTTTTTATGCAAAAAAACTGCATATTATGTTTTCTGCACAATATTCTTGCAGTTTTTATTGCACACCTAACAGCACTTTTGATTGACTGACACTATAAAGTCTGTATGTAAGACCTTTGTTCTTAAACCCACTGACCAGGCCAAGTCAGTGGGTTTGTCACAGAATCATGACCTTTTGATTATCAGTGAAAAGCCTCTTGGTGAACATGAAGCTGCTGGAAACACTGACCTGTGCAGAGGCTTTGGAGTCATTCAGGGCTCTCTGTAGAGCATGGCTCAGTCCTTTTGAAAGGTTCTGCTTTAGGATCAGGTCCAGGCAATTCTTGCGTAGCTCCATAGACAACACTGTAAAGATTAAAAAAAAATATTTAAGTTAAGAAGCTCAATACACTATAAAGCTTGTTTGGATTTGCCTGTTTTTAACAACAGCATATCACCAACTGGATTATGATCACCACAACTGTTTTTCAACATGGAACAAGCCGATTTTCTACACACAGTCCAGCCGAGTATTCCTCTCCAAATAATCCCTGACCATGAATAATGTACAATGGACCTCAAGGAGCTCAGTTCATGACTTCAGATTACAGTCTTCTTGCTTCTGAATGACATAACATACATGTAAATATGTTCCTCTACCAGTTGTTGGGTACTGAAAAGAAAATAAGTGAAAAATCAGCTGACGCTGATTGAAAAATCTTAAGAAACCTTTAACAGTTTTTTATCCTAATTACTTTCAAACGTTTAAAGAAAAAATACTGCTTGTATTCAAAATGTGAAGAAAATCACGCAAAATTCAAGACTGTACTGCAGTGTAATTTAAGAATATGTTAACTATTTCAAAAGGGAGATGATATTCATTATGGATTATTTAAAAAAATGTATTTAAACATATACTAAAATTTCTAATAGGGATATCAAAGTCTCCTACCTGTTTTGACCCAGAATTTCTCCGTCACATTGCATGGCAGAGGCATTTCCTCAGCGCTGGTGGTGGAGGGACTTTGTGTGGTTGTTGTTAGAAGTGGTATAGTTTGAACTGGGATGAGCATAGTGGTAGTGGGTTCTTCTGTTGTGGTGGTGGTAGTTGTGGTTGTTGAAGTGGTGATGGTGGTAGTGGTAGTGGGAGCAGCAGTAGTAGTAGTTGAGGCAGTGGTGGTTGTAGTGGGTGCTGGAGTAGTGGTGGTGGTGGTGGTGGTTGTAGTAGGTGGGGGAACAGTGACTGTGGTGGTGGTAATGGGGGCTGGCCTGGTCGTAGAGGTCGTTGTTGGAAGAGTCGCGGTTGTAGCGATGAAGAGCCTTGTTTCCTCTGGGGGTGCAGCAGCTGTGATGTTCGATAGAGAAGCCTCTGTGCTTCCAGGAGTCGCTGCCTCCAGTGTTTCCATCTCTGTGCTATTAACAGTAATGCTGGTCATTGAGGGTGTCGTTGTGGTTACTGTTGTCAGCTGAAGGCTGCCATCGGTCACAGTGTCTTGGCTGGTGTTATTTTGGGCTGTGATGGATTCTGGTGGTGTTTCTGTTCTCTTCGTGGTAGAAAACGACACAGTTGAAGTGGTGGTTGTCGACGGAGTTGTCTTTATAGTCGTGGCTGCTGTGGTTGTGTTCTGTATGGGGATCCTGGGACGCGCAGGCATGGTGGTATTCCACTGGTGGGTGGAGAAAGGGCTTGTTACATTGGGAGGAAGTGTGATATCATGGTCACCCACTGTGGACAGGAGAGATTCAGGGACAGTGGGAAGATCCCACGCTGGTAGGCCGCTCACGAATTCATCTGAAGGGAAAAAGAACATGGATAAGTCAAAAAAAAAAAAATTAAGAATTTCTAAATTCAGTGTTTTGCTTCAGATATGTTCAGAAAACCCTGCAGCTGAGTACAAAAGGTTTAGTGATTTAAAATGTCCTGGTATTTTTCATACTTCATGGACTCTAACAAAGCTTCCCACCATACTCTGACGTGGTCACCAGGTGATCACATATTCATCCATTGTTTCATTCCAGATTCACCTGCAGAGTTTGCTGAAGAAAAGCTAGAACTAAGACACCTGTGAAAAGATTATCACCAATACCTTAGATTATATTTATCAAGGACAAAGAATCATAATCAAGATTTTCCTTTTTCTTTTTTAGACATTTCTAAAAAATGCCTTTTGTTACTTTCCCTCAATAGGACCTGAATTTTTGAGGAAAAAAAGAAAAATAGGTTACTTTTAATTTCACTGGCCTCTGTCTCTACTTTCCTGCTTACGTACTTTCCCTTTAAATGTGTACTTCTTACAATTTCCAAGTCTGCACTTACTTCTTGTATTTCTTGTTTGCTGAACAACTATTTTATTCTGAATGCAGTGACACACATTTATCCAAACCAGAGTTAGGATGACAACATGCCTATCAAGCCTCAGCTGTCACTTTTATTTGATTTAAGTAATGTAAAAAAAAATAAAAATAAATGTAAAAAAATTTGAGTTGGTAGTTTTTAATTCCCCACAGAACACTGAATATTAACATGTCAACATGAAAGACACTTTTATACTAGGATTGTGCTTTATCTGTCTTCATTGTGACTGCAAATGTATGAGGCAGGCTACCTTTCATTTTCAAAAGCATCTCCAGATTCAATCGTATCCCCCCCACAATGTCTTACCAGCAGGGGGCTCAAGCAATCTGGTTTGTGAAATCAGTTGAAATGCTTGGAGACACACTACTTTCTCCTGCACATTCTTCAGAAAGCTAAATATTTGTATAATAATTACCTTATGATTGAGGTGAAAATAGACACAGGAAACAGAGAGGGATGGAGGTTACGAAATGGGAGATGATGATGATGATGATGATGATGATGATGATGATGATGATGATGATGATGATGATGATGATGGCAGCAATAAGTCTAAGATGATAAAGTAATATACATGATATACATGATGGTGACACTGAATGTTGAAGGCGATGATTTACTGATAATGAAGCTGAAAAAACACAATCACAGTGAATTTAATTCAGTTCCAGTAATTCGATTAAAATGAATTGTTAATATTATTACAAACAATCTATTAAGATTAAATCACTGTTAAAAATTACAATTGGTCATGCAGAAATGACGGATGTCTGTGAAACTCGTTGCTGAAGCCTTCAGCGGCGTGACCTCCATACATTTCCCTGAGAAGTTGCTGAGGTGACTAAAGCATAAACTTAATCATGTCTAACTGAACTACAATTATTCTCAGACATGTCTTCTTCAGTTTGCTAAATCTTGATAACTGCCATAGAAAAAGGCTTGGTTAATAATTAATTCTGTTACAAAACAATAAAGCATCAGTGTGTCACTGGGATTTCATTTGACAAACCAACACTGACATTTTTCCAATAAATATCTACATCTGTACATTTTATCACTTTATTAGATGATGGATTAAGCAGCGTTACGTACATTTTCTACAGCTTATGATATTGTTTATCCCTGCTGTTCTCTGTCACTAATGTTCTGCCTCAAACTTGTGACACTTTCACTGATGAGCTAAATTCAAATTCAGTTTGCACACAGGAAACAGTCATATTAAATTAAATGTCTGTAATAAAAGCTAATTGAGGGCTTCAGATTAAAGAGGCTGAATATACTAATACTTTTTTAAGACTTGTTAAAAAATACTTTAAACCATTTATCCTTTTCCACTTCACAATTATACCCTACTTCCAGTTGGTCTATCATAAAATCCCAATAAAGGATTGTGCCTCTGCTGTGCTAAATTGTGAAAATTCAAATTAATACTTTTGCCAGATAACGGAAAAAAATATTACCCACCCAAACTATAGTTAGCTGAAGAGTTGTTGTTTCCAATGACCACAGACAAATTGGTGGATGGTGGAGTCTGGCTCAGTTTTTTACTGGATGGAGAGGAGGGAAGAGAGGATGCTTTTGTTGTGGAGGAAGATAAGGCCTTGGATGAAGAAGAGCTTTTAGACCAAGCCGCTTTAGACAGCAGCCCTAAAGGTTTTCTGACTGCTGGAGTCTGCAGCTCTGTCGACTCAGTCAGCATGCTGAGAACCGATGAAAGGGCCGCCTGCTCCCTTTGGTCCTCTCCATTTGTCCTCAGCTTCTGCACAAGCATGGGAGCTGGATCTTCGGGCACGCTTGGCAGAGCTTCGTCCTCTGTGTCGACCGGCCTCCATCCCGCTTCAGCCCACGCTCGAGTTTCCGTCATAATCCCAGCCTCGGCAAAGACTTTTCCATGTGCTCCCGCACTCACTCCTCCCTGCGTTTCTGTCCAGATTGAAGTTTTGGCCTCAGCAAACACTTTTCCCTCAGGCCAACGTCTGAGTTCAGCATCAGGACCTGCACCAGGAGCAACATCTTTAACCCCGTCTCTGTCTCTAAATCCAGGAGTCAGGATTGGGGGCACTGTGGGTTCCAGAGGTATGTCACTGTTCTTCATTGATACATAACGGCCTTCCTCAGCTGTGAGAGAGAGAGAGAAGGAGAGAGAAGGAAGGAAATTCATGTTTAATTGGGGCAGTTTGAGTCATCTGTCAGAAAGGAGACAAAGTGACTCACTTCAGCACACACATCTGGAAACCTTGAATCATTACTCCTCATAAGGTCATTCCTACTGTGCAACTGTCAGTGGATTTAAACTCTGCTCTGCCTGCACCCAGACTCTTGAGGAAAATACATACACACATTAAAATATCGCTCCTACGCCTCAGACATACGGATCCAAAAGGATTAAAACTATGACTGCTGGAAAAATAGTAATACTGTCAAAAATAGGTCACTTATGTTTTAGAGGATAAAGCATGAGGAATTAATTTTCATGTTCCAGGATTCATAAATTTGGACACAAATGCACCCTAATCAGCCGTGATTTTACAGATACTAATCACATCCCTTAGGTTAGCCACACAAGCTTGTGGATTTATTATTTCCAGAGCAAACACAAATGGCATGGGCCTTGGCTCAGATCAACAACAAATGAGGAAGGAATTGGTTCTTGAAGCAAATGGAGGTTTTGGCTATTTGTGGGCCACAGACGTCATTTTTCATTTTGTGGATACTAAAAGATACATGAAAATGGAGCAAGAAAGAGAACATCCTGTCAGTGAATTTAACAACATACTCATGCTGAATTTTGAAAACTTGTCATCGACTGAATGAGGCAATTAACGCATTCAGCCTAAATTGTCCTCTGAGTTGGTGGAACTGAAACATGAGAGGTTGCAAAGCTGACCTTACTTGAAGTTTACTAATTGTCTCATTTGGATTGAAAATCTTCTGAAAGCTTCAATACAAAACTTCAATAAAAATAAAGTTTTTTGCATATTAGTTAAAACTGTCAGTATGGCTTGGCAATATGAGACATAATCTGGGAAAGAAATGAGCTTCTCTGCTTTCTTCCTGTGGTTTTACTGCCACTGTTCCAAATATTAGAAATGGTTTTCAAAATCTACATTTTCTCTTTTCAGTGAAGGTCTTACAGTATTGTTTGGGAACAATAATGAACAAAGAGCATCATGAAGACCAAGAAACACAGCAGACAACTCAGATAAAAAGTAGTAAGTTTAAAACCGGGCAAGGTATAAAACAGTATTTAAGCTTTGGACATCCTAGAGAGAACTGTTCAATCAATTATCTGAATGACTGAAAGAGAATGGCACAACTGCACCCATATCAAGACCAGTACACAGACGGGTTGGGCCAGCAGAACATTAATCAGAGAAGTAGCCTAGCAGGAGAATTTGTCGATATAACTAACTATTAGGTATGCATATCACACAGCTGACCTTTACGGAACAGTGGCAAAATGAAATCCATAAAAGATTCTATTTGCAGTTTGCCTCAAGCCATGTGGGAGGCACAGCAAACCTGTGAAATGCGGTGCTCTGCCCAGGTGAGACCAAGCTTGATGTCCAAAGTTGGTAGAGCTTTGGACATCAAGAGCAAAAGGTGGTTCAACAAACTACATACCAAAATCTACAAACCAAAAACTACATGCCAAAATCCTGATAAAATATTTTAAAGTTTGTTGCCCAATGTGAAAAAGTCCAGGGAGTATGGAAACTTTTACAAGGCACTATATTATCAGTATTTAAAATTTCAACACCTTATTTTCTTTTGTAAATGTGTCAATGTGCGCCAGTGTGTCGCACATTTCCCACACTTCCCAGAGTCTCTGCAGAGGATCAGTTAATTAAAAGGAAGTGAATCTGAGCTTGAGAGACTTTGCAGAACAAGCTTTGCGCCTTGCTGCTGCACATCCTCTGGAAACTTTCTATAAAAACATTTTCAACATCACGGCATTAATTATCATCACTGAGCAATATGTCCCTCGCTACACCATGTCATTTTATAAATGCTATTAGAAGAGGAAACTAATCCACTGACAGTTTGCGTTGAAGCTTCTTTGGGCTCAGAGCAGTGTTTTAGTCACTTTTAGGGAGTAGGAACAGACGAAGTTAGAAATGACAGGGGCAACAAGCTCAGGGCAATATGGGGTAAGTAACATGCCGGCTAGAATTAACCTAAAAGTCCTCCTCCTGCTAATACAGATTCATCAGATGCTTTTTCTTTAATAATTTAAGATGAAAAAAGGCACAAAAAGTTAACAATTTGGGAAAGAAAACAAAAGTGTTTTGCATTCCATAATGTTATGTATTTGACATGTCAAATACTAGTAGTCTGAACTTAGCACAATATTTAGTCATAATAGTTGTCTCTATTTCTCTGAGCTGAAGGGGAAATGACCATGTGACTCAAGGTTGTCAACCAGACAAGAAAATTGGCTCTAACACAAACCTAGTGTTGCTTAGTCTCTGCTCAAGGGAATGACTTTTCAAGTTCAAACAGATAATCAGTAATAATCATTTAGGGCTGAAACGATTCCTGGAATGATTCAAGTACCTCGATTATTAAAATTCCTCGAGGAGTAGTTGATGCTTCCAGTGTAAGTGTAGCTTTACGGATGAACCGCACAATAAATTTCATATTATCCCGGTCTGAACAAACGGGTGGCGAAGCGCATTGTGTCGGTACATGGCTGGCAGATGAGTTTCTGAGTGTGACGAACGAATATCCCATATTGCTTCCCCCCCCGTTCTTACGTTCCCCCCCTTGGTCTGCCAGTCATCTTTCCCCCCTTGACTGTCCCCTGCTCTGGTCTATTTCCTTCCCTCCACCCCCATCGTACGTTCGTTCGCCTGCCCTCCCACCCCAACCCCACCAGTACAGGCAACATTTCCCATATTCTCAAACCCAAAGCTTGGGTTATGAATATGAATATGAAAACATAATCTCAAGACAGGTATGGGGCAAGGTGAGAGTTCATCTGTTAAACTGACTCAAGACGAATACATGAACTAAAAGCTGGAGAATAGACATTTTTTATAAGCGTACTTGTGAGCCTGCCTCTTTATTATTATGATATTGATATCTAATAGCATATCAATATCGGTGCCAGATTTACCAATATTTTATTTGATCATTTTTTTCATCCAATTACTCGATTAATCGTAAGAATAATCGACAGATTAGTCTAGATTACTCTACTAAAATATTCGTTTACAACAGCCCTACTTTCATTGTCTCTACAACATTAGTGGCATTATGTCTTAGTCATGACAGCAACTCCTTCAATAGCCAGTAGTGTGTTCCCAATGGGAATAGTCAATTACAGGTGGGGATAAAGCAGTGATCGATGGATATAATGTGAGAATAATTGAAGGAATCGATGGAATGAAGGACTGTACTGTATGGAGGACTGTTGGGATTGTTTGCTCAACCAAAGCCACCTGCTCTGGCTGAGAGCAGCATATGCGGCTCCACTTTCAGACCTCCGAGAAAGCACTAGGAAGGAGGAAGCTCTACTGAGATGAAATATGGACAGGATGGATGGATTGTGGAAGTGAAAGGGTGGATAAATGTGGATCTGAAGTGCATTAGCTTTTTGGACAAAACACGAAGGACATATTTTGCCTATTTCCATGTGAGAACATTCGGCTTACACCAGATTATGAGAATCACAGCACAGAAATGATGCACAAAGCACTACAGGCCATTTACAACGCTTTTAAGCTAGAGTCATATTATGCCTTGACCAAGGCATCTTGCCAGCTGGATGTGATGATGCCCTGCTGCATCTCTGCAGCTGCCAACACAAACCTGTAAAGCCTTTACAGCTCAGTACAAGCCATCTGAATATTCATATTGGTCTTTTTTCGGTGCAGTTATTATTGCACTGGTAAATGTTTAATGTCTGAATGCATGAACTTGTGCATTTCTGTTCTGTCTTTTTCAGTCTGAGCCAAAAAGAGCCGATCAGAGTAAACCACTACAACAGTGAGCAGAGGAGGTCAAGTGCCAAACACACAGGAAGTGTGAAGGTAGAGCTGAGCCAAACGGTCGGGACTGTGAAGCTCTGAGAGAAAAAGTGAGGAGGGGGAGTGTGGTTGGTTCAATCTGCCAGATAGCCATCTGGTGTGGGCAGGTTTTCATTTCAATAATTAGTATTCCACACAGCAGACAAAAATAATCTATATCTTAATCACAGAGCCGTGCCAGTTGAGCTATATCCACAACTACGGCAGCTTTTCTGGTATGATTTATGACAACAACCTTCAGTACAGAGGGTGTCACATTATTCATGCATAAAACCGTGGGTTCAACACTTTAGTCAAAACAAAAATAGAGAAATGAAGCGCAGGAAGCAATACCACCTTTTTGCCCAGATGCAACTGTTTTCTGTATATTCATCTTATTTCAAGGATGCATGAGTAGTAATTTGGTGGAAAGAAAGAAAAAAGGCATTTCAAAGTAAGAAGATTAAAAGTTTCTTTCAAACATTACTTTTTATTACACAAGGAATCTTGAGAAGAATAAACTATGAACTGAAATATATTTTAAACTAAAATGTGTTTAACTTTTGCAGCTCAGAATTATTAATGTTTTTAGTTTACTCTCTCAAACCATTTAACATTTTGAAGACTTGAGCGTCAGACTACATGCACATGGGAATGAAATGGTTGATTTACTGGTATGATAACTGAATGTTTAAGAGTCTGGCATTAAAAATCAACTTCCAACAATACTTGTTACCTTTAACCATATGACTTACCCAATCCTAAGGTAAATTCACACCCTGAATGTCAAGAAACGCGTGCTACAAAAATTTGGTTGCATCATGAGCAACACACATCACTTACACATAAATAGTGCTAAAAAATGCCTAGATAAAATGGCTTTAAAATAAATACAAAAATTACTACATTTCCAACCTCGATTAAAAGATTTGCGAAGATACTCGGGATTTTATGTAAATAAATCAGTCATAGTTGTTCTACATGTTTCCACAGTATTTCAAGGTACACACACAGTTTAGCTGGAGTAGCAGTCCTGATGGTGGGTTGGAGCACTGAAACATGTCATGGCATGAGAATCAGTGGGAGAAATGTCCTTTGGCAGATTAT